GTTAGATGTCGCCAGCAACCATCTTCAAGGAGGCTGTTTGAGGGATGATCACATGAGGCAAATATTCCCCACTTCTAATGATACTTTCTGTTTCTCTGTTGTACTGATTTGGGGTCACATATATATCCCTCAATGAACATTCCCATTTGTTTTACCATTACCAATTCATTAATTCGTACAGTATTTGAAAAGTTACCACTGGCTACACTATGGAATTGATTTATTTTGTGCTTTGTCCCATGGGGCAGTGCAGCCCCTTACTTTATATTTTCTTAAAGTAAAAAAATAAATAAAGCCTCTCTAAGCCATGCCTCCATTCCTCCATCGGTAAAGGCTAGGTGTACCTGCCACTGCCTATACACCAAGCCCTGTGGGGCAGGCATACTTCTTTGAGGTGGTGCCTTAGTCCTGGCCACTCTTTCTTCTGTTGCCTCCCTCCCCTGGGATAGGTTGGACATACTCCCCACTGTCCCTGTGCCAAGCCTCACATGGCGGGTATGCTACCTTGAGGCGGCATCTTGGTTCTGGCCATTCTCCTTCATTTTTCCCCCAGCGGGATCGGCATTCACACATGCAAAACCAGTAAGGAACGTTCTGATATGTGGTCAGAACCAAATAACAGAAGCCTCCTGGGGAGAGGGGAATAAACCGCAGTCACACTGCTGGCTGGGTTAATGATTCAATAATGGCCGTGTGTCGTGTGATTGGAAATTTATGCAGTGATTTAACTGGGTTATAAGTAGGGAACATTTGCCTCATGTGATCAAGCCCTTAGATTGATGTAATTTGGCTCTGAGGCAAAGAAAAATGTTTGATCATCTCCCACGTTTGAACCTTTCGTAGGTGGACCATGTTTGACGCTTGGCTGGATGAAGAGTAATGATGTTCCCAGTCAAGAGTTGGTGGCTACTTTCTTTGGCAGTTCTGCCAACTCTGCCAATTATCATTTGAAGGGAAATCATTTTACAGGGCAACAGAACATGCAGTTTGTTGCAGCACAATTTTGAGAACACCCCAGTCTTTCCAAAGCACAACAGAACCACATTTTAGCTCTTTTATGTGTATAGGTTACCAGTCCACCTACCAATCCCCCTTATCCATCTTTATCCCATCTTTATCTCCCTCTAATTATGAATGCAACTAGAATACAAATACACTGTACAGTGAACACAGTGCATATTTTCTATTCCAGAAGGCTTTAAATTGAAATAATATTAGCTGTGGGTCTGATGGCAATTTTAATTGTATCTTAATTGTATTTTAATTATTTTATCTTTTACTGTATTGAATTTTAATTATTGTAAGCCGCCCAGAGACCTCTGGGTAGTGTGGGTGGCATATAAATTGAATAAATAAATAAATAAATAAATATTTTGATGCACCAGTCTAAAGTCTCTCTCTCTGGTCCAGCCTTTTAAGTCTGTTGTCATGAGTGCAGCTGAAGACCTGGAACCAGAAGGGTTAACTGAAGCTGAGGAGAATGCTGAGCAATCAGAAACTCCTGAATCGCCTCCAGATTCTCCTTCCCCAGCAGACAAGCTTCGGGTCAGGCTTCGGGGAAGACTTATGGCAAAGAGGTCAGAGGATCGCTCGAAGGCTTTCCACAGAAACCTCCGTTCAACTAGCCCTGAGTACTGACAGGATGGAAAGGTTTCCAGCAGCACAAGGGGCTGTTTTACAATAAAAGCAGCTCTTAGTCAGCTAGAATTCTGTGGAAGCAACAAGTCAAAATTTCTGGCTTGCATCCACGTTCCTACAACCTTGAACCATGTTTCCTGAACTCTGGACTCGTACTTTGGATTACATTGTGTGTTTGACCTTGGACTCTGACCTTGGATTACGTTCTGTGAGTTGGTTTGGTAATTGGATATCGGCTTTGCATTCCTAGTATTCCTGACTTTGGACTGGCTTATCTGACCTCGGCTGTTGTAACCCCCGGGAACGTGACATGTGTCTAGGTGCTGTGCTTTGTTCACAAAGAGAACGGGTATCCAAACTATGGCCTGTGGGCCACATCTGGCCCGCCTTGCCATTTTATCCAGCCCGTTCCCTTCAGCTCATGTTCATACACAGGCAGGAGAGTATGGTTGTGCGGGGGGCATGGGGATGTCTGTGCGTATGCATGCAGGTGGGTGGGCAGGGGTGCTGGGTATCCAAACTATGGCCTGTGGACCACATCTGGCCCGCCTTGCCATTTTATCCAGCCCGTTCCCTTCAGCTCATGTTCATACACAGGCAGGAGAGTATGGTTGTGCGGGGGGCATGGGGATGTCTGTGCGTATGCATGCAGGTGGGTGGGCAGGGGTGCAGGTGGGCGGGTGTCCATGTAGGTGGGTGGGGCAGGCGGGGACAGCCAGCTGGCCATGCAAATGCACACACATGCATGTTCCTGTTCCTTTGGAACTCAGAAATGTTGGACATATCTAGTGTGGACTTATCCTCATGGTCAAAAGTTTGGGGTCCTTTGAGAGAGGAACAATAAGTTGTTTGATAATGGCAGCTCATAAGACCTGCTCAAAACAGCAAAGTGATCTCAGCCAGAGATGGATCAGCAAGACTCAGAGAGTTCTGCCCACGGAACTGTTATTGTCCAAGAAAGGAAAAGGATTCCAACCACTGTCTTCTCCCTTCCTCCACATATGGAGTACAACAGACCTATGCTGACACACAACTTTGATTATGGTTTCACTAGAAGATATGAAAGCAAGAGTCTTGAATGCTGGGAGCAAGTTGTTGGACTGATGTACTCAGAAAATTTCAGAACGTGGACCTAAAATGATAATGCACGACTTATTTTTGTCTCTTTTCTTTTGGTTTTGCTTTGTTTTGCAGTAACATAGGGAGTGATCAGATGGCAATATAGGTCACATTTGGTACAGTTCAGTTCATTCTATTGTCCAGATAACATACAGGAAATTGTATATCCAGCTTCTATGACAAATCCAGACGTTTTTAGGTTCAGTGGCAAGACTCTTCTGGGTGTGAACTTTTTTTTTTTGAGCTGGACTGGAGCAATGGGGACTATTGTTTTGTGCATACAGAAAAGTTGCTTCAGAGGAGATTGGACTCTATAAATTGACACTGTCTAGTGTAACCCCACACAATCCTGTTTCACTATCTGATTGTACCCTCACTTCAAGTTTTAAGCAAATCCTGCAGAATTCAGGAAGTGGGAAACCAATTTTCCCAGGGCTTGCCGATTTTCTTTGTTTGACAAAAACCATATTAGGTTTCAGGTTTTTACAGTCATTGCCACTTCCTCAGTGATTGCTCTAATCTGAGTCCCATGAAATCCTGAAGAAGTAAAATGAGGGGAAAAAAGTAGCAGGGAAGTCCATTTTACACCAGCGTAAGCCAACTGCTATAATGTGATCATAAGGAACTGGTTTGGATGACTGACTAGATGCACAGGATATCGTGGGAGTGTGTCTCACACATAAGGAATTCTCGTGCCTGAACCTTTGATTCAGTTCTGACAAATGGGAAAAAGTTATAATATATTGATTTCCAGTGATGGACAGTGGGAGTAAGATTTGGACTTCCAACCTGAGATTTAAATTCAAATTGTGTGATGTCTGAATTTGTTTGAACTAGTGGGTCTGTTTTCCAGATTACTGAATTGGATTCTGAACTAAAACTTGCTAATTGATAACAAGTGAGATCAGAATGAATATCTGTTCTTTTCAAAAATATTCTCTCAGAAAATGGGTCATAAAGCACATTAAAACTTGCTGAATCCTATGCTATATGAAAACCCTTCATCTTGGAGCAAGTTGCCTACAACTCTAGGAACTTGCTACTGATTTGCCTTATTATGCTTTTAAGGCATTTTGATATGTTTGGAGGTGGTGGCAGCATTACAGTTAATTTTGGTACTGATAGTAATGGAGGATTACCATAATCTAAGAAATTATCTCAGTTTCAAAGATTATATACTATAAATCTATATAGCAATGAGAACTAACAGTTGACAGCTTCCTTGTCTTAAAACAGTGCTGTGATTTTCTCAAAGCAAGGTCATATTATTGTTACTGCCACTGTCTAGATGCTGGGTGGCAGGAAGGAAAAGAGCAGAGGCAAGAACACCATAGTTTTTCTCTCTAGTCCAGCAGCCAATGTGTTAACGTTAAGTCATTGCCCTCCTGAGGAAGCCATCCATGATTCCATGCCATCATCAAGAATGCATGCCACAATCCAATGCACACATACTCTCTAATATTCTGTGGCGTCTCAAGATTTTTCCTCATTGGAAGGAATTTTAAATTAGTAATCTAACTCATTCATTAACACTTAGGAAAAGTTTATATTTTGTTACAGAATTTGTTACACAAGTACACTTAAAAATATTCAAAATTACAAAAATGGCATGTGCCAATCCAAAATAATGAGAATAACTACATGAAAAATATCATAGCTGGCCAAAATCCAATTTCTCCCCCTCACATGTAATAGTGCAGTCATAGAAGCTGCAATAGCTAATTGAGGCAAATGCATCTGATCCTGTATCCAGTTGTACAAATGGCACACAACCAGACATGCCAATGACAGCTTGTTAATTGGCCTCAGTTAATCGCTGCCACTAGTTTGTACTACCATGAACACAGAAATTATTTGAATTTTTGCCTTGTTTACTGATAAAAATCTTTAAATGCTTGTTGAATTTTTAAATATATTATAGGCAAAAATTATTTTTTAGCAAGTTATTTCAAAGCTCTGGGTTTTATTCCTGCCATAACAGAATGTGTCTGCTGTACTATACAATATGTTCTTTAGCTCAGTAATAGATGCTGTGGAAGCAGCAATTGCTTTGGGAGCAAACATGTTTCTCATACCTCGGCTTGATCTCCGGGATGGATCTTACATGAATTCACCCAAAGGCTCCTAGGCAGCATCAGTCTGTGAGCAATGCTTAATCCAGAGCCCACATGGTTAATCTCTTCAGGAGCAGCCCTCCAGTCCCTGGCACTCCACAATTGGCTGCTGTGCTTTTATTTATCTCAGCTGTTGTGCTGCAAGGTGGTAGTCTGTGCAAGTGGCAGAGGCAGGAAGCAAGCAAGCAAGCAAACAGCAGCAGCTCCTCTCGCTGGAGGCAAGGAGGGGGTGCTTGTACCTTTCTCCCTGGTCCTATCCTCAACATGAGGGGCAGACTTAAGGACACATGGATTTTCCCCTTGCTCTTAGCTGGTTTAATTCAACCAAACTGGGGACAGGAGCGACCAAAGGTAAGGCATTACTGGATTATGCAAGGGAAGTGGGGGACCAGAGCAATGTTTTAGAAGGGAGGGGGTGGATAGCTTTTGTCTCCTGCATTGACAGCAAAGAGTAACTGGGACACCCGGGAGTGGGGAAGACAATTGACAGATGCCTCATGGTTTAAGACAGTTGTGATACAACACTGGCATACTGAACAGCCAGATTCCAATACACGCCTCAGGAATTTGTTGTAAGTAGCTGCCTACCTGATCAGATGTGGGGGAAGGAGATTCCCCACCCCTTCAAAGCTATAATTTCTGAGCTGAAGGGCTAATGGCAGCTTATACATTATCTCCCTATTAACACCTCCTTTAAAATTATTTTCCTAGATTTGCATTTGAGCCTATACTGTCATGGTTGCATCTAGCATGTAAAATGACAGAGAGCATATTTCTCCAAGACATACCCCAGCTGCTTCTTTTGTCAGCTGGTGAAAAGAATGGCAAGTGGTTCCTTATCAGGCTGCCTCTGTGCCTTGTGCATTCTTAACATTTTAGCTGACAGACTGAGGCTCGGCTTTGTTAAGCTGAAGCCCTTTCCCATCCTAGCAAGACAGGAGATATGTAGACTTTCCCCACAATTATTAAATCCCTGTCCTCTTTTGAATTTGACGTGGATTTAAACCTCTTCTTTGGCTCTGCCATCGACAAAGTCAAGTCTTGGCTTTGAATCCCAATTTGTTTTAAATTCGAAGTGTGAAACAAAGTAATCCTGCCTCACAGAATTTTTATGAAGGCAAGAGAAATCGTTATTATACATTGAAAAAGGCAACCCTAACAATTGTGGATTGTATTTGAAAGAAACCATAGAGGTTTCCTTCACATGCCAATTCTTTCTCCTCATTGAAATCTGGACCTAGCCATGAACGGGAAAGAAGCAGATATAGAAAAGGAGCTGAGAGCGATGTATTTGCTGTCTAGGTCAGTGCCTTACTGTTCAGCAGAGAAAATAGAACTGCAGGTCTGGATTCAATGCAAGGGGAGAAATAATGTGAGACAGAATGAACTGGATTAAGCACTTCTCAGTCCAAGGGACAAGTTGAGGACACAGTACATTTCAAACCATTTGCTTACTTTTAGGGTTGGTTGATGGCATAGACAAACAGTGTGACCAATAAAGAGGTCAGAGAAACCTCTGACATTTTAGCATGATGGAGAAAACAAGTCGTGTATGTCTGTGAAGCTCAACTCCTGAAAGCACGTGGTTGCTGGTGTATTTAAGGCTTTTTGAATGCAGCAGATTAGGTCCATGGGGGGGGGGCAACAGGAATATAGCCTTCTGTGGTCCTGATAGCAAGCAAGAGAAGCATTGCCATTGAGGTACAAAAAAACGCAAGAGATATGAGAATATCCAATCGCTGTTTCATTTTGTTCCCAGAAGAACACTAGGTTTTAAAGATAAACACTTTACGGACTTGCTGAGCAACACAATTAGGACTCCAGTTCTCCAAGCCCAGCTGACTTTAGTGCACCTAGCTTAGGAGCAAACTTGTTGGGATTGTTCTAGAAAAATACACACACGCAATCACTACCTTGGTCGCACATGGTCACAAACATGGACTGATTTCACAATGATCATTTGGAGTTCATTTTGCTGGATTTGGTTCAGAAACCTCCTCTCCTTTGATCTGTGTGGGAGGAAAGAAAGGATGGTGTGCTCCCCTGAGATCACCTCTGGGCCTGCTTGATCCTGGCAGCTGGGGTGTTGCTGAGCATCCTAGTATAATCCACAGGATACATGGAGCTCCACAGTTCCCTGGCAGGTGTGCCCTTCATGTTAAAGAATCTTAACTTTCTTCTGCTACCAAGGGCTGGTGGATGTCAGTCATGGCTATCCTGACTCTGGATGCAGTAGGTCTACAGAATAATAATAACAATATACCCCACTCCTTGCTTACATTTATTTTCAGCATAGTTTAGGAGTAGCACTGGTGGAATTTATTTATTTATTTATTTAACTTTTATACTGAGCTAAACACAATTAATAAACTGAATCATAGACTAGTGACGTTGGAAGGGACCTATAAGGCCATCAAATCCAAACCCCCTTCTCAATGCACGAATACAAATCAGAGAGTATCTGCCATGTTTCTCTTGAATGCCTCCAGTGTTGGAGCACTCACCACCTCTCAAGGTAATTGCTTCCACTGTCTTACTGCTCTTAACAGTTAGGAAGTTTTTACCGATATTCAATCAAAACCTGGCTTCCTGTAACTTGAGCCCATTGTTGTGTGTCCTGCACTCTGGGCTGATTGAGAAGAGATCCTGCCCCTTCTCTGTATGACAGCTTTTCAAGTATTTGAAAAATGCTATCATATCTCCCCTTAGTCTTCTATTCTAAAGGCTAAACATGGCCAGTTATTTCAGTCTTTCCTCATAGAGCTTCATCCTTGTTGCCCTCCTCTAGACTTGTTCCAATTTGTTGACATTCTTCTTGAAGTGCGATTTGCAGAACACACAACATAACAAATTGATATGACATCATAAAATAAAATAACCAACAGAACAAAAAATCAGAAATCAACTACAGTTCAATGAGTAAAATTCAAAATTAATAAACATTAAACATTATGTTGCATCCAAAGCAGTATTCCACATTCTTCATCTGTCAAATTCTTCTCCTTCCCACACTTCTTTTCCTTTTTGTCTTGATTGATAGTTTCAACAATCTCTACTTTTTTGCTTTTTTGCTACACAACTGAAGTATTCTAGCGTTCTATATTTTATGAGTTTTATTATTCTTGATCTTTATCATCAAGCCATTTCTATGGAAACAAATTGTGTCTGCCATTTGGCTAAGATATACATGGTTTCTTTATGAGCAGATTTATTTGCTTTTTGAAAGTAAGTTGTATCCTACAGAAACTGAGGACAGTTTCAGAAAAAGCTCTTACTATGGAGTTTCCCTGCCTACTTTTCTGAATTTTACAGGGGCTATTTGGTACACTTCTCAGTACTTTGTATGTAGAATACCACAAGAGAGATCAGTATAATTTGGAATAATCCACAGTGATGAGGATGATGTACTCATAACCCTTCCTTGTGTTTCCACCAACATCTTTCTTCTTCTTTTGGAAAATTCATTAAGGAGAAAAAGCAAAGTATCTACTGAGTATTAGCATGACAAAATCCTAGTTTTAATCTTCTTGAGTCTTTTACAAGTCTCTGCTCATATCCAGGGATTCAAAGGCACCCAGTTTTGCTGTCTGAGAGTGTACAGAAATTTCTCCCTCTTTCTTTCCTGAGGTTTGCATTTGTATTCTGTGGGTTTGCTGACACATCCTTCTACCCTGAATTATCAACATGGTTTATTTATCTTCCTGATTAAATATCTACTAGAACAGAAAGGGTGTGCGTGTCAATCTCTGTCATTCCAGAGCTGTCCTAGCAAATAAATTGAGAAATTGATTGATCGTGCTTGATTTGTGATCCAGCATCTGCCTCTGACGCAAATAGCTTGAACTTCTGGCTCTCTGCAGACGTGAGGCAGAGTGAATGATTAAATGTTCCAGTCAAATCCTAGTAACCATGTGTTTACGTGTGACCATCCATGGCTGGGTGATGGAAGCAGCTCCTTAGAAACCAATAAGAAGCTGTTAAAAGTAGAATGCTGCTTTATACAACACTGTACCTCTGGGACTATCTACTGAAGCACTATCTCTGCCTAGGTTCTCTTCTGGCTTCTGGGATCTAATTTGTTTCTCCAGCCCTGCCCTCCATCCCAATATAGGGTTGGGGACCCTGTTGCCTCTATATGTGACTGGACTGCAATTCCTACGAACCTCAGTCAATCAGTCCGGCCAGTAGTGAGACATGATGGGCGTTGTAATCCACCAATTTCTGAAGGGCTACAGGTTCCCTAGCCATTTCCTAGTACTTCAAGGAGCACTAGCTGGAGTGATTCAGGATTTAGATAAAGCAGAACTTGTACCTGGCAGAATAAAGGAATGAAAAGAGTGCCTCTGAGCTCAAGGCTCAGAACAAAGTTCATTGTTAGCATTGGTACGGAGCTTGCAATCCTCTCTCTCTCTCTCTCTCTCTCTCTCTCTCTCTCTCTCTCTCTCTCTCTCACTCTCTCACACACACACACACACACACACACACACAGAGAGAGAGAGAGAGAGAGACAGACAGACAGACAGACAGACAGACAGACAGACCTCCTGGTTTCCTGGTTTCCGTTCCTGAGCATTTGTCATCCTACCAGCCTAATTTAGAGCTCAGGGGAAGAAGTGTTTTTGCTGTTATTGTTCAAAAACTGGGTGCTAATAATTTTGCAGAATTACAGCACCTGATCCTGGTGCTCTGCATACAGACGCTGGCATATCTTCTGCTCAGTGTTCCTTTGCACCGAGCAGTTCTCCAGAGTTCCAGCCCTCTTTTCTTGCCAAGGACTGAACCTGGGACCCTTTCCATGGCAAATACTGTATGTTCTTTGCCACTGAGCCACAACCTTTCCTTTTCTTCCACACCACCTGTCATCACTGAATGTATTTTCAGCACCCATTGGGTAAGTGTGTACATACCCTGCAATATTATTTTCAGTTCACTATATTTATTTCACCTAAAGAGATGCAAATGCTTGTGAGCACCTGAGTCTGGAGGGTGCCTCCACACAGTTTGGCTTCCTGCCCACAAGGAGCAGAGCAATAGTTGTGGTCGATCCTCTTCACTACATTCATAGCGTTCAAACATTCCTCAGATATAGAGAGGGGAAGAAATTCTGTTCCTGTTGGCAGTTTGTGTTTGGGCCACTGCTACCTACCAGTGACCTGCTAGTTGAATAGATGGGAATGGTTAGGTCAAGTCTTATTAAATGTATTTTTATTTTTATTTGCACATTTATATCCTGCCTGTCCTTCAGTGCACTTATGGTGATGTATATGGCACGATTCCTTCCTATTCTGTCCTCGTGGCACAGTGGTTAAAACACTGTACTGCAGCTAAAACTATCCTCATAACAATGTGCTGTGAGCTGCTTTAGGCTATGAGAGAATGGTCAGCTCATCCTCCTCAAATGAGTTTCATTTCGAACCCAGGGCTCTTAATCTGAGTGCAGCTCCGCCCAGTACACCACACTGTTGGAGTCATGAAATGAGAAGGCTGATGGGCTTTGTGATGATCACCAGATAATTAGGATAGCAAATAGTCTCTTATAGATAGAAGTTAAAGAAGTCAGCCACACACACACTGGGATGTCTGCCAGCAGTGCTCCTAGTGGGCGACTAGTAGAAGAGGCAGAATAACACCGAATGGGTTCCCAATGAATTCTGCCCTGCCCCCAGGAGGATTGTCCTTTTATTAATCTTACAAGCTCACAGATAGTGGACAGTATACAGATAGCTGACAGAGTTCATATAGGACAATGGTTACATCATGCCATTATAATTGGCCTAAGGAAAGGCTCTATGCAAGCTCTCTAGCACGTATGAGAAAGAAGAAGAAGGGTAGGCAGTCATGCCCCTCAGAAGCAGTTGTGAGGTCATCTAGGAGGGTTTCCCCTCTATAGCTTAGCAACCTTGGGAATGGCACCCCCACACCACACTGGCTCTCAGATAAATCCCACTGATTCAGTGGGTCTGCTTGAGTTGACGTTTAGTTTTTTGTTTGAGTCTGGAAGCATTTAGTTTAGTGAAGGTGAAATTTATTATGTATTTATTTATTAAATTTATACCCCACCCATCTAGACCAAAGTCTACTTTGGGTGGCTAACAATAATAGATAAAATAAAAACAATACAGTTAAAAAAACAGTAGTAATATAGTTCAAGATGGGAAAAATAATCAAGTGATGACAGGAGGGATAGCCTGCCTAAAGAGCCAGGTCTTAAGTTTTCTCTTAAAAACACCAGAGAAATCCAAATAATGTATTTCTGAAGTCATTTACAAATAAATACCGGCAGATGGCATGTGGAAAGCTGTGAAGTGTCAAAGCACTTCTTTTCGGAACCTGCATAAATATTTGTCCAGAGGATATTCTTTCTCCACCTCTTTCTCCTTCATATGGCGTGTCTGTTGTTGTCTTCCAGGTGGACTGCTATGACTCAGTACAAGGAAGTGTCTACAACTATGGGGCTCTCACTCTTCGTGGTGATGAGTATATCCCCTTCCAGAAGTACGCAGGGAAGTTGCTCCTCTTTGTAAATGTGGCCACTTACTGAGGACTCACATCACAATATCTTGGTAAGACACTCCATCCCCACCCACATGGGTTAATTTTTACCATGAAATGTGCTGAGCTTTCAGCAAGCCCAGAATCTACAGGAACCTTGTCTCTTAACTTTAGAATTATTGGAGCAGGCAAAGATCATTTGATTAGAGTGAAGTACTGTAGCTCCACAAGACTTTCATCTTTAGTACTGTATCAGAGTCCAGGGTTGAGAAAGGGTTGGAACCGCAACCCTGGCCTATATACACCAATAACTTTTGTGAATTTATTGTTCTCATATACATCAAGTCAAGGCATCCTTCAGTCTTGAGAGACTATGGTAAGGTGCTCTGAACAGAGGTCTTGGAACAGCGTCTAATGTGGCTGAGGCCACTTTGAGAGTGACAATCTCTTCCATGCTGAAGACAAATACAATCTGTGCCCTGTCCAGCTCCCTGTTTTTGCTGGTTTTGGGACTGCCTCTTTGCCTCGGCCTGCTGAACAAGGTCCTCTTCAAATTGGGAGAGGCCATGCTGCACTGTCTGCCTCCAGGCTGAACGCTCAGATGTCAAAGTTTCCCATCTGTTGAGGTCCATTCCTAAGGCCTTCAGATCCTGCTCACAGATATCTTGTATCGCAGCTGTGGTCTCCCTATGGGGCATTTTCCTTGCACTAATTCTCCATACTTGAGAATCTCTGATTCCCAATAATAGAATAAGCATATTGAGACGTTTGTAGCACATTTTTAGGATCCTTATCCTTAACAAGATAACATAACTCCCCTGGTAAAATTGAATAGAGAATTAGTGCTGCAGATGACAGTGTTGGTGCATATGCACTAATAAGGGTGACCTGTCCTGCTAATGAGTGGAGCTGCAGAGACAGGATTCTTTCACTCCCCACAGTAGGTGGAACAACGGATCTCAGCAGAGTATTTCTAACTGGAAAGCCAACACCATATTCCCTGGTCTCTTTCAATGGTTTTCCCTGCCAGGAGAATGAGAACTTTTTTTATCTTTGACAGATCCCGAGTCTGGCAATCTCATATCTTGCAGGGTAACAATGTCCATCTGCAGCCTACTCAATTCCATGTCGATGACAGCTGTCTTGCGTGTGTCATCTATTTCCTGCAGGTTGTCAGAAAAGCCAGGGGTCATTGTACGAACATTCCAGGTGCCCAGCTTTAGGGCGGAGGGTTTCTTACGATTGTTGCATGGTTCACGGTTACCAATCTGCTTGTCAGCTTTCACCCTAAACCCCATGCACCCTATGAGGTTAACAGACCGTGGCGAGGCAGCACCTTACTGGCTGGGGGCTGCCCAGCTTAAGGTGGGCAGTAGCTACCTAGTGAGGTGCAATGACCTCTCCCACTGTTGGAAGTAGCCCCTGGCTTCACGCTCTATGCCAATCGAGCAAGGACTTATAACTGGTAACTGCTACTTCACATGTTATTTTGACACTGTATACAAAGCTGGAGTGTCCTCTCCAGAGCATGAGGCCTGGGTAAAATTATATGGAGGACAAATTGTTACCCAAGCAGCAAATCCCCCCTCTCCATGTCACTGAAATAGTCCAGTGGAAAGGCAAGAGCCAATACAACTGGTTCCAGCGACGTCGCAGGAGTTGCCAGAACGTCATGAACTGCTTCCGCAACTCTGGCTCCAGATTTTGCCTCAAAAGGTTTACTCCTGAAGCCTTTTCCAACTATGGATATAGCCACAAGGCAGTGGAAGTTTGAAATTGGAGTTTTCCTTCTCCTACATGGGTTGCTATTTGACTTATGACAACTTTAATAAGGTTTTCAAGTTACATGAGAAGTTGAAGGTGTGGTTGACCACTATATCTTGGCTCTTTTTCTTGATTTATTCATTCTTTTTGCCCAAAGAGTCAGGGAATGTATGAGGCAACCTACAGCTCTTCGCAATGCCATTATCAAATTAAAATTAATAAAACAGATTTATAGTATCATAGAATAATGGAGTTGGAAGGGACCTATAAGGCCATAGAGTCCAACCTTCTGCTGAATGCAAGAATCGAAATCAAAGCAGATCTGACAAATGGTTGTTCAATTTCAGGAAAAGCCAAGTTTGTTGGATCTAACCTTGTTAAGCTAATATAAACTTGCAGAGCAATTTGTCCCATGACATCAGCAACTCCAAAATTCAAGAACACAAAGAAAACCACCCTTTTAGATAAAAAATGTAACGGAATGCTGGCAGTCAAGTGCTCCTTCATTAAATACAGCTTCATTTTGCATCTTCAGGTTAGCTTTGTTCCAGGGAGCCTTGGGGCTCATAGAAAACCCAAAGTAGTCACATTACAGTATTTGTGTTTACCTTGCAGGACTGAATGCACTACAAAATGAGCTGGGACGCTATGGATTAATCATCCTTGGCTTCCCATGCAATCAATTTGGAAAACAAGAACCTGGAGAAAACTCAGAAATCCTTCCAGGACTGAGGTGAGCAAACCCATTGAGTGGATCGCTGGTTATTTCCCATAATGAACTGCCTCAGGCTGTTCAGTTCTTCCGAGCACAACTGGGTCTCAAGCAAGCCTTGAAGTTGCCAATTTATGGCATCCAGCTCTTTCTCCTGCAGTTCTGCCCCTGGATCTTATTTATTTGTGGCCAGTGATGAGAAAAATGTTGATGTGGTTGGGTAGTAGAGTAAGGCAGTCAGAGCTGGGAATTAGTACATCAGCACATGTTGATGGACTTCGGCTTCCATTTTCTGTCACCTTGGCTATGATGGCTGAGCTGATGGCAATTATAGTCCAACATCTGGAGGGCTAAATGTCTCCCTATGTCTCCTGGGGCATAAGTGTTAAGCTTCCCAAGCAGGAGATTATTTTAAAAAAAGAGATTTCTTGTTTCTACCACCCCTGTGTGGAGAGTGAAAAAAAAAACCCTCTAATTTCCCCCCTTCTATTCCAGATATGTTAGACCTGGAGGAGGCTTTGTCCCAAATTTCCAGCTCTTTCAGAAAGGAGATGTAAACGGGGAGAATGAACAGAGAGTTTACACTTTTCTAAAGGTTTGTATCAGCAGCATATTTGATTCCGTGACCTCTCTTTCTGGTCTGTCAGATAAGAGCCCTACACAGGGCCTCCGGACAGTCTTAATCTAAGTGCACGAGCAGAGAGAAGAGGGTAGCCTTGCAGTCTTTGCTCCTAGCTCTTTGCGTGCAGCAAGCTACATCTGAAGAAGAGTGACTTCCCTATACAGGTCAGAACTTGTTAAAAACCAGGATGTTATGGAGATAATACACAGGTACAGATGGATGTCCCTTTCTGATCCTGCTTTCCACTGGTGGTGAGCTGGAAAAGGGAGCAAAGGGCTAGGCTGACCTATTCTCTTTCTGATATGCTCATATTAACCCTTTTAATGAATGTCTTAGTAATGCTGTAGGAGCCAGATGAGGTTTAGGACAGAGAATCCCCCTGCCTTCAGTGCAGAACGTATGTGCTCATGAGATGCTATCATTGGCAGAAGTGGAAGAGAAGAAATGCCTTCTGCAATTCCTGAAAAATTGTTTTGGGGATCCCCCTGAACAGTGTCTACAGTGCTGTGGGTGGGCAAGAGCAATCAAATGTGTCTCCTCCTTTCCTGACAACTAGAGCGTCCACTCTAGTGGAATACACGACATGAGTCAAAGGAACCTGGAAGATGAACTCAGGGTCCAAAGCAAGGAACTTTAGGTATCCAGACAAACCAAGCGGGATGGAGTGATATTGGATCAGGCTCCTGCCAAGTAAAATAGCTGTTAGGTGAATGATGCTGTAATGGGTAATAGTGGTGGGGATGAGCTTGGAAAAAATGATTCCCAGAAGAAACAACAGCTGGTGGGAAGAGGGTCAAGCAGCTGTCTTCTCACGTAAGTAAGTGCTCATTCAAAACAAACTATATCATGAAAGCAGGATATGCTTCTGGATATACGTATTATTGCAATTCACCACTCAGGAGTTTTCACTGTTACTGAAATGGCAGTGATATTTCTAGTTTCATACATCCTTGTGGGTTCTACTAATTGCTCAGATCTCCTCTATGCCCCTGGAACAAAGATGGAAACCTTCAGGCCAGTATCCTTTTGTTGGTTCTGAAGAAGCGTAGGCCCACTGAATCAATTTCTGAATGGCAAGTCAACATATATGTAGGTCCTGCTGAACCAGTGTCTATTCTTATTGAGGCTAGCAGTAGGACACTGTATTCAGTGTTTGAGTGTTTAATTCCAGTCACAGCAACAAACAGCAAGACTTGATTTTTTTTTCTTGGTAGAATTCATGTCCACCTGTTGTGGAAAACTTTGGTGACCCCAAGAAACTTTTCTGGCAACCTTTGAAGATCCATGATATCAAGTGGAACTTTGAGAAGTTTTTGGTTGGGCCGGATGGGAAGCCTGTTATGAGGTGGTATCACAGGACAAATGTTGCCACTGTGAAGAATGACATCCTACGATACATGAGGAAGCAGAACATGTTGTATGGATAGAGTTTCCACAATCATCGAAAAATTAGATAATGGGAAGGGAGGGAAACTGTTTCTTTATCCACAATCATACATTTTCACTAAAACCACAAACAAATATTTTATCTTTCCTTCATCAAAGCCAAAATTTTAAAATATAGTGGGGGGTGGGTATTTATGGCTCTTGACATGTTTTGGCCTACACTTGTCTCCAGCTCTAGTGAGTATTGTGCTATGATAAGAACTGCATTCCAAGAACATACAAGGGGAGTCATAGTTGGCTGCCCCCAATCCAGAATGCTCTTTAACATGGCCCAGTTCCCCCGCCCAACACTACCTACCTGTACGCACACACACCTTTGTGTACAAACAACTGCTAACCATCTGAACCATACTGCTCCTGCTGGGAACAGACATTCTTCAGGGCCAGATGGGGTGATTATTTTGGATCTCTATGGATCAGACCCAGTTTCCCTTCCCAACAAAATAGAATTTCCGCCATCACCACCACCACCACAAACAAGCAGAGAGTTCACACACTCGCGTTTCTGAAATAGTCTTTTCTGATCATGGGTTAGATGTGAAGGGTTTCTGGGGACAAGGAAGGTGCAACATTATGACGGTTAGGTCTGAAAGCTCCCAAAGGAGTAGACCTCGCCTGAGCCTGCAAGGCAGTGAAGTAGCCCTTTAGTGCATTCAGACTACTTCATGGCATTCTGCAGAGATATGTGCCTTTTTAGATAGAGCCCCAAGATCCTTTTGCTGCCATGCCCAGTCTGTGTCTGTACATTACCTAATAATAATAAAGCACCCTCAGCAAATTTATTATTGTGAAAGACTCTTTTTCAATGTGCAATGCAGGTCTCACAAGGAGACATCTTCTGCTATGTTGATGCTGCCAGTCTTGAGTCAAACAAGACGAGAGACATAGATAGCACATGACAAGAAATGCTATGTGATTAATGCTGGCTTTCATCTGACAATGGAATTTCTTCAAAAATGCATGCCTCTGCATTCAGATTCATAAATTAAGCCTGTGTTTATTTCCCAAATGACCAATAAAAAATGAAGCACACTAGAATGCAGGATATTGAGATGAAGAAAAGCATTTGCTAAGGCAAACAGATTTATTTCACCTATTAAGGGAGTACAGCTTGTAAGTAAGTGCTAGAAGTATCACCTCAAATCACCCTTCACAGTATGGAGATTTTGTACTGATGCTACCACCACTACTATTTGTTTTGCAGGTATAGTTTTTGGAGGCTACAAAACCAATTAAAAACATTTATGCAATGACTTTACAGAGGTTGGAATTTTACTTTTTAAAGATATTTGTTGTGTAGCTCATTGCAAAGCTCACAAAAGGTAACTCATTCTAGGTAGCGCAATTTTTAGAGTAACTATTTATCCTACTAATTATGTGTCAAGTTGCTTTACCATTTCTTTTAATTCCTTTTAATTTTTTTTAAAAATGCCTTATGATTTAGGAAAAGGGCTTAAAATGCCCTCCAGAAGTAACAAGAGAACAATGCGTAAACATTACTTGTTACGCAAGATTGTAGGAGTATTACCAGTAGTAATGTTACTTTGCAAAAGGAGCCTAGTAGTACCATGTTGTGGCAGCACTGCTGCACTGACAACTGTATACAGCATTTGGGATTATTTAGTCTTCCCCTGTATGAAGGCTGAAGCTGAGAGAAAGGAGGCCTCTCCCACCCACCCTTGCACTGTAGGAAGTGGTTTCACAGGCATGAAGGGAAGCTCATCTCCCTATATCCTGCTGCTTGCTACTTTTTCCTTTCATGGCAATCTGGAAAGTATTTAACAGAATGTAAGACATCACAATGACACATTTATTAAGAGACTATAGTTTATAACATAAGAAAATGCATACTTTATTAATGATTAAATAAATCGAGTATTTATAGTTAAGATCATTTCGTACAAACAAAACATCCTAAAACATTTACAATAAAGGAATATTGGCTAACAGAAATATTAGAAAGTTTAAACACAATGGCAACACATTCTACAAATCTCTCCAAATATTTGGGAAAGGTATTTCTGTTTAAGAGAGATGGACACAGGGGGGAAAAGTAAAGTAAATTCTGTCGTCCTTTCATTTTTTTATGTTACAGTTCATTGCATAGTAAGGTTGACATACGATTTCTACAAGAGGTGAACTCAGTGAACAGAAGATAAACTTAGTAACTTGACTCTCTTCTGACTTACAGCAACCTTATGTATTAGCAACTTCTAAAAGTTGTCATTGAAAGCTATGCTCAGCATTTGCAAATTCAGGGCCATGGCTTCACATGCTAGGCCTTTCCACTTTTCCTATTGCTTTCAATCTTTCCTACCATTATTGTCTTTCTAAGATGTGCCCAAACTATGGTCACCTCAGTGTAGTCATTTTTCCTTCTAGGAATAGCTGACACTTGATTTGATCTAGCACCCATTTATTTGTCTTTCTGGCAGCCCACTGTATCCATAAACCTCTTCTCCAACACCACATTTCAAATGAATCGACTTTTTTTCCTCCTGGCTTTCTTCACTGTCCAGCTTTCATATCTGTACATAGTTACCAGGAATAGCATCATATAGATTATCTTCACCTTCGCACAACTGTCACATCCTCACACTTAAAAGAATTTTCCAGTTCCTTCATAGCTGCTTTTCCAAGTCTTTGTTTTCTTCTGATTTCTTATCTAGTCTCTATTTGTACTGATGACAAAACTATACTGATATTAATTTTAATCTTCTCAGTGTCAACATTAAAGTTTTATAATTCTTTAAACATATTTTTGTTCTTAATATTCATCTGTAGCCCTGCTTTTGCACCTTCATCTTTACCTTCATTAAGAGTCCATATATCTTAAGGAGTACATATTATAGAATAACATCCAGCAACCTAATAGACCATGTTTTGACCCACTTGAGAGCCTATAGAAAGCTGAGCTGTAATTACATTCTATTTAATTTCTTTTTAGCAGATGCTTTCAAGGCCAACACTGTTGATCCTGATTTATGTAAACCATGGGATCAACAAAGCTAGCAGAGACTGTAATATACTTGGCTTTGTTCTGCACAGTTCTACAAGGCCGTTGGTGGTCTCTCTTCCAGTCTGCCTACCATCATTATCTGGACAACTTAATGTTACAACAAGCCTGCCATGTGCAATTGAATCAGGGCATAAAGATCAGTTCTTTTGATTAAAAAGTAAAAGACAAAAAAACCCCTCTTCCCTTTAGAAAAATTTAAGAATTGCTTTGCTAGGCCAGACAGTGAGTGAGCAAATAGTCTTGGACTAGCCAGATGATAGAACCCACCAAGTAAAACCTGCTAGTTACACAAAATTTGGACAAGGAGGTTCAAGCTCCATTATAGGAATTAAATGGTACCTAAAGGAAACAGAGTTGGAGTCAACATATTCCAGGATTAGGGTCTTTTATGTCTGTTTATGCATACATAAACAGACTGCAGTACATTACCAAATATTAGCTTTAAACCAGCAGTGTACAGCAGTGTTCTGCAGAGAATCAAGTTACTATGTTTTTGGGCTAAACCACTGCATTACAATTCAAGTTCAAAATATACATATATATTCAAAATGATATAACCATGTTTCAGTTTAATGCCTATACACTATAGACATTCACAAACAAAAAAACAAAGGAAAGGGTTTGTTTTATTTCTTCCCTCTTTGCAACACTGCAGAACGGGGGGCGCTGGCTGCGTTAAGACAACAGTTGCCTGCAAAAAATATTGTGTTGTGAATTGAAAGCTGCAGGAGAACCAGTGAAATGCAGATCCTGTCGACCCAGGAATCCTGTAGTTTTGCCAACACAGGAGTAAAAAGAAAATAGTATTTGCTACCAAAGTCTGAGATTGGCTCCCTCGGCAGCTGAATTTTTGATGCCAAGTAGAGAAAAGATCACTGATTCAAAATGCTGAGAGATCCAGATAAGTTTAACTCCACTGGAGATGTTCCACAAACAAAAGGTCACTGGACACTCTTCGGTAGCATGCCACACATCTTCAGAAAATCCAGTTAAAGCCATTGTTGTCCCAAGCATCTGTTACATCCCATATATACAAATTAATGGGAATAGTGTCCAGGCAGCACTAGAAGGTTACCCGTCTACACAGGTTCACATGCATTCAGTGGTTCTACTTTTGATGCCTACACAACACCACCACGCAGATTAAGTGGGCCTTTGGTTTTTAGGTAACCCAAGACCTGTAGCATCTGAAAGACAAAAAACCAACCAATCCAAACAAAAACACATTAGAAAAATAGTACACAAATCCTTGCCTTATCAAAGACCTAATATTTCTAGACAAGCAACACATGCATTCAGCTGAACTAGAATTGTGTTATGTTGTGTCATGTCAGGACTGACTTAGCAATAGGGCTTTCAAGTAAGGAAAATATTTAAGGAGTGGTTTTTCCAGTTCTTTTCCTCAAATGAGTTTTCATGGCAAAGGGAGGATTCAGACCCAGTTCTCCTGAGTTCTAGCCCATTACTCTACACCACATTGAATGAGGCTAAGTGGAGATAAAATGAATATGCCACCTCCCTCTTCATCAGGATCCAGAGCTATGGATTACATGGGCAGATCCCCCTGGGGATCCAGCATTTGGCAATGGATATTAGTGTTTGAGTTGTGAAACATTTTGAATGTTGGGTCCAGTCTCTGAAAGTGAAATCCAACACCAAAATGTTTAATATTTTCTTTTAAAATAATATTTCTTTTAAAACATTTTTATATTTCTGCTACAGCTGTAGAACAATAAGAAAGGGTGTGCATATAAATATTGTAGCAGTGAATACTGAGGCAGAACTTTCTTAAGTCCCAAATCTTGACATGTCCCAAAATTTAGGCAAGAAAAGATATTCCATGCAGTCTGGCACAACAAACATCTCCAGCTACTAGACTTCAAAATAAATAATAAATAAATAAATGAATTCAGTTCCTTCCTCCAGACAAATCAATGAATAAGTAAATGAACAGAATATTTGTATCTTGTTGGCAGAGTTTTGGAAGATCCCTCTGCTTAATTTTCAGGATCTGTCCCCACCTCCAATTCCCTGTGTAGCATTTTTGTGGGCTGGCCGAACTGGGAGGGATAGGTGGAGAAAACTGTTTCTGTTAACCCAGGTACACTGTAGATGCACCCAATCAACAGTGTAGAAAAAGCACATGTGCTGGTGAGAAGATGCTTGAAGAAGTCTGCCTTTTCCTCATTTGAACACTCAAGTATATGAGCTTGGACAAAAATCTCTGCAACTCTTGTGCACAAGTCACTCACATGACAGTGTAGGTTGTATATCTTCAAATATGTGAATGTTCTAGTCTGTACCCCTTCAATTCTCGTTTGCTCCAAATTTCCCAACCTTTCTCAAGCACCAGAAAGCTTTTTTGCATTAGGTCTGCCATATTCATATTCATAATAATCATAATAATCATAATAATCAATAATCAATAATCAACAACAACAACAACAACAACAACAATAATAATAAGTATACCACCCATCTGGCAGCCAAAGCCATTCTGGGTGGTTTACAACAAATAACATGAAACAACAAAGCAACAAAATAGCAAATAACAACATCAATACATAAGGGCGAAAATAAAAAATCAAAGTGCAGTGAGGATAAAATTACAATACAATAAATACAATTAAAAGCGTAGAAAAATATTAAAAATATGGTGCATGGCAGTATGATAGAAGTTATATTACTGGACACTATTGTATCAGAGTGTAGTTTGTTCAAGGGAGGCCTGTCTAAATAGCCAGGTTTTAAGTAGCTTTTTGAATGTGCCTAGTGAAGGGGGCCGGGCGGACTTTGGGTGGAAGGGAGTTCCATAATTGTGCCGCTACCACCGAGAAGGCCCAATTTCTAGTGCTTGTTTTCCAGGCCTCTCTTGGGGTCAGAAATCTCAGCCGCCCTGCCTGCAACAATCTTATAGGATGGGCAAACCTAATTGGAAGGAGACGCTCAGCCAGATATCGAGGTCCCAAACCATTTAAGGCCTTATAGGTGAGTACCATCACCTTGAAACGGGTACAGAAATGAACAGGTAGCCAGTGTAAGGCGCCCAGGGTGGGGGAGACATGTTGGTATTTTCTAAGCCCACTCAGAACTCTGGCCGCCGCATTCTCCACCCATTGCAGTCTCCGTAGTAGTCCCAAGGGCAGCACCACGTAGAGGGCATTACAGTAGTCTAATCTCAAGACTGCCAGCACATGGACCAGCGTGGTGAGGGACCTGGTGTCAAGGTAGGGACGTAGCTGGGCAATCCACATGGGAGTCCTGATACATTCTCCCCTATTGCGTGGCAAACTGCCATTATGCTCTGGTGCTGAGGGCAAAAAAGACTGTCCACGTGACTGAAACGATCCAGCTTGGTGAGCCACTCCACCTGTCAGAGTTATCCCATGGGGCTGACCCTGTCCCTGTACAGGAACAGTAGCATTTACAGTGGATCACCGAAGGCTGGTCTAGTCCAGGATTCTTTTCACACAATGGCCAGCCAGTAGTCCAAGGGAAACCCCACAAGCAGGACACGATGGCAACAACATCTTTTGCCTCATATTCCTCAGCAACTGCCTCTGATGCTGGTAATGATACATTCCCATCTTTACTAGCAGCCATGGGTAAACCTAACTTTCATAAAAAGCTTAATGTAGGAAAGAAGTGCCAAACAACAACAAAAGAACACAAAAATTGGGATCTACAAGACCTGGAAGAAGTCTTTAAACTACAGCATACCTGTTTACATATTGGTTGTGTATACTTAGGACTAAGATTGCTTGTTATTGTCCTTGTTATTATGATTTATGGTTTCGGAATCTCAATTTTTGATTCCTTGTTATTGTGATTTATGGTTTCGGAATCTCAATTTTTGTGTTGGTTTTGGATCTCAATTTTTGTGTTGTTTTGCCTAACCTCCACAAGCCAGAACGTCTCCTTACCAGATTCCTTAGACAGTTGTTTCACACCATCCACTGCTTGTGACTTTTGGTTTTGGGATACCACCCATGGTGATGGAGACCAGGTATACTCTGGCTATAAGGAAGACCAAGGGGAAGGGGATGGATATGAGAGAGAGAGAGAGAGAGAGAGAGAGAGAGAGTTAATAAAGGCAAGATGAAGAGTTCCTAAATTTTTTGAAATAGAAATTTACATTAGTGTACAAGCAGGAGAAAGTACAGACAATGGCATAAGAAACACTGCTCATTTTCTAAGCCCACTCAGAACTCTGGCCGCTGCATTAATGTAGTGCATGCGCTCGTAATCTCAAGATTAGGGAATATTCTGACTGCAGAATTCTGCACAGTACCTGACCCAATCCTAAAAATCTCTGTTTTTCTGGAAGCATTCAATGGATTCCTCTCCGGGGATAGCCCCCAGTTCCAACAGGTTTTCCCAGACCCCCCATGTCTTGTCTTTAGTTAACTTACAGGAGGGAAATGGTGGTAATTCTGAACTGGAGGATGCTCATTTGCTGCTGTTGATGGGGGGTATCGGATCTGTTGCCAGTCCTCAAAACCATGCCATAAATGTGGTTGGGCTGGAGGGCCACACTGGAACTGGTACATGGGGCAGGGTGGGGCTGCTGGTCCTGGCTGTGGTGGTTCAGCCTGGAGTTTGTCACCAGAACGCTGCAAAGGAGAGAGCAGATGACTAAAATGGATGCAAACTAACATACATCCTAGTACACCAGTGAGAAGGATTCCTGAAATCACCTGGCAGAGGGAGTCAGAGTGTTATGTTTTGACTGATGGATACTTTAGGGAATAGGGAAGGAACACTCTGCCTTCTCCATTTTCCAATCTCTGTGTTGCCAAGAGGAAAAGTAAAAATGGTGTGGGGGGAGGAGAGAGAGAGCTTTACCTGACTGCTTTACAGAAAAAGAAATGCAAGTGTTGTGACCACTAAAATATTGCTGTAGTTTTAGTCACACTACATAGCAGAAGGCATCCTGAACCTATGAAGCAGGCTTCTACATTCTAGACCTTTTCAGATAAGAATAGCCAAGATTTTTCCATTACTCCTGAACAACACTTTATATTGGTTGTACAACATAGGGGTTGCCTAAATCTGGATCCAATTTATGGAGCAGAAAAGAACAAGTCAGGTAGGAAGAGCAGATGCTCAAAGTTGCCCCATTTTTCTTATTTAAACACGTCCAAAAACATTGGCAAGGCCTGAGGACCTGAGGACTGGGACCAACCATTGAAGACTTAAGAGGGTGCTGGTCTCAAGGAAAAAAAGGAAGCTCAGTCTGTAGTCCAGGCAAAGATCTCCTCTTATAGAGTGCACGGCCACACCGCAGTCCAATGCGACTGTCCTATCTGTGCACCTCATTCACCAACACAGGCACAGTGCCTTGCCTAAAGTAAAGCTGCTGTACCTTCTTTCCAAGTTACTATGTGCTATTCTTTCAGAGAAAGCCAACGGACCGCACTGCGTAAAAACCTGTGTCCGTTAAGACATTTCAAGGGTGATGCAAGATTGTTAGATTTTCGTGCACTGCGTAAAAACCTGTGTCCTGCAAGGGTGATGCAAGATTGTTAGATTTTCGTTACAAAAAACAGAAGTTTATCAGCCTAAACCAAAGTCCTACTTTCAAATTTCATGCCATGAAATTTAATTGTTTGATATGAGGGGGAAGCCCTTCATTTGGAGGCAAACTCAAAGAACAATGTATTGAAGCCATGGAAATTCTACCAATCCAATATTTTGATAAAAGTCTGGATGGTGGCGAAGGAGAAATGTGGAGACACAGCAGTTTCTCAACAACAACAACAACAATAATAATAATGGGGGAATGGTCAAAGTGGCACCAACATAAAAGAAGAAAGGGCTGGAGATTATTTCTCCTCCAAAGTAAAGCACAGTCTATTTCTATGAACTGAGGCCTTAACAAACGCAGCTTGTTCCTGAGAGTTCAACGCAAGAACACAAGTAAAAGGAAAGCTATCACTATGGCTTTCATGGCAACCAAAAGCTACTGCCTCAGACAGCTGCCTTACGTTTCCCTCCTCCTCCTCCTCCCTTATCTCCACTTCAGTTTCCTCACATGCTGAGAAAAACAGCTCTGAAGTGAATATTAATTTCACAGAATACTTTGTGGGATATGCACCTGTTGCCTCAATCAGCAGAATGCATTGAGGGGCCTGGTCATTAGTAAAGTATTTATCCTGGCAGCTGTAATTATGTCTTTCAGGCATAGATGCTATTCACATTTTACAAAGACTAAAAAAAAAATGCTTCTGAACGGTCACAATCCAGCCCTCATCTTGAATTCTGCTATGTAAATATACACACGACAACGTACATATGTACATTTGGGAGGTGTGTATAAACAAGGATGTATGGATATCTTCGTCACTGTGGCTGCCGGCTCCAAACCTGTACAACCCAATTCACTAACTGTACTCCATCTGGTACCTCTGTACAATTCTGCAAGGAGGAATTTAGCATTCTTTAGGTAGAGAGGTTTGGGAAATTGGATACAATGGCCAGAATCTTGTTCCTTACAATATAGCATAAAGGGAACCATGTAAGTGGTGGGAGTCCTTTTGCTGTCTGTCTGACATGTGTCTGCACAATCACACAGCTGCTCACACGACAGCCTGCAAAATTCCAGAGCCACTTGCTCATTTCTGCTTACATGGGTATTTCCCCCCCAAGAGAATGCTGACCTTGAGTTAATGTGCAGGCCAGAACATATTTCTAAAACGCCCCAGCACAAATTTCAGAACCACACCAAGATAAGTTTAGCAATGAATACATTAATAACAAATGTGTGTAGAGATGCAAGATGCGAAAGGACAGTTTTCATACAGATGAATGTAGAAATGGGACTGAATGGGTTTGGGATGAATGTGTGCAAAGGTGACCTAAACTGGAAACAGAATGCTTTACCCACCCCCAGCAGTATGGTATTCGAAGGGACACAAGCAATCTGGAGTCTGGACTGCACATTCTCATGAGTACTTCTGTTCCACCGGCTTCTGCCGGTGGAAGAAGCCCAGCCGTACTAAGCCACGCCTATGAGTCCGAATTTCCAAGGCCAGTGACATGAGCCAACACATTTCTCAGTACAGCAGTTAGTACCTGTTTGTGCTGCTTCAGCAACTTCTTGTATTTGTCCTTCTCCTCCTTCTCTTTATGGAAGTCCTCCTTAAGTGTCCGGACCTGTTGTGGAGTCACAAGAAGGGAACAGGCAACCGGTAAAAGAAGGGCTAAGATTTCACTGCAAGCTGATAAGAAAGCAGTAGGTCAAACAAGGGAAAGGAGGAGACAAGCTATACATCTTCCCCTCAGATCTGCTACAGCCATTGCCCAGGGTGCTGTCGTGGTTGGCCAAGAAGAGGACATTCCTGCGTATCTTTGTTCTATACCTTTTTGGGGGGGGCAAAAGGGAGAGCTGGACAACATCTTCACAGGGGGCAAGTGAGAACAGCTGGTCACCCCAGAGGAGAAGATAACTTCAGAGGTGGTGCAAGTTTGTGATGAACACTTTAGACAGGTTGCACTACTGGTTATGGAGATGATTACTTTACAAATGCTTGTGGTGCCATTCCTTTGCCACCAAGGTACTTGTAAACATTTTTTTCTCAATTTCCCGACCTACCTCTTTCCAAAACAAAATGAATTAATGAGAACAGATTTTACTATGGAATTATTTAATTAGAGCTTTGACATATGTCATGGGTGAAACTGGTGGCAGAGAGATGTAATGTGTACAGCATGTATGCACAGGCAGCTTCCAAGAGTTTTTATGGGGTTCCCCCGATGTTCCTTTCTTACACTGAATTTGCTACCATAATCATTGTTGGTGCCTCAAATGGTGCTTCTCTAACCCCCTCCCCTTGGTGTAGAGCTGGCTGAAGTGATATCATTTATACTGGTGCAGTTTCCCCCCTTTTCTCCAAGTCTCCCTCATCCCACAGCAGAAGAGCCGAGAACAACAAAGTGCATAGGGATCAAGTCTGGCTGGACAGCTCAGTGAGCTGGAGCACCTGGCTGGCCCAGGAGTTCAATTCTCCACTGTGCCTCCTCCTGGCAGAAGAGCCAGACTATGCCGCCTTGGGCGTAGCCCCAGAACACACCTAGAAGAAGAACATGGTAAACCACTTCTGAAGATACTCGGGAAACCCTGGCAAGGGGTGACATAAGTCAGAACTGACTTGACAGCACAAGTCATTATTAACACAGGAGGATCAGATTGTGGACTGTGAGCTACATTCACCTTCTAGACAACTTGAGAAAGCCTCGTAAAACGTCTATGAGGACGACTCTAATTTGCAAGTGAAATTCGCCCCCTTCTTGCCTTTGTAACCCTATGAGAGGGGGAGGCTGTGCATTGACAAAGTACCTAGTAAAGCATTCCCCAACATCTATGGTTAGGCCTAGAGAAAAGGAACAAGAAGCAGATGGACAAAATACTGTAAGGACAGAAAACAAAGAAAGACTTGGGGAATGTTTTAAAAGGACCAAGAAAGGCTGGGAGAGTAAGCAAGAAGCTGGGGTGGCCTGGAAGGCTACATCTCTTTTCCTTGGATATTTTGGTAAGCATACAATACTGGCAGAACCACCAGATGCCTCGATCAAATCAGTGAACATCCACTGGAAGGCAGTCTAAGTTTCATTCTTCCCTAAAGGGTTCAAGTAAACAAAAATCTGCATGTCTTTTCTGGATTCCTACCTGGTTGCTGGAAAGTACTAACTGCTTCTGAAGCTTCTCCAGCTGTTGCTTGAGCTCCTCCTTCTCCTCGTTCATCCTCTCCCTATCACTCCGCTCCCGCTGGAAATCCTCCTCAAAGATTTTCACCTGCCAAAAAAGAAGAAGAGATGCTAAAGTCCAAGGATGATGCCGCAAGGCTCTGAAATATGCTATGTATGCGGACAATACCCAGTTCTATTTCTCCTTGCTATCTAAATCTGAAAAAGCTGTAGTGTCAGTAATGGACCGGATGAGAGTGGCTAAACTGAAACTTAACCCAGGCAAGACAGAGGTGCCCACTGGTCAGTTGAAAGGCAGATCAGGGAACAGAGATGGAGCCTGTGCTAGATGGGATTACACTACTCCTGAAAACCCAGGTGCGAAGTCTATGGGTACTTCTGGATTTGTCTCTGAGCCTGGATGCTCAGGTTTCGGCTGTGACTAGGAATGGATTTGAACAATTAAAAAGCAGTGTGCCTGCTGCACCCATTCCTGGGAGAGGTCTGCTTTGGCCATGGTGACACATGCCTTTTGTTACATCCCAGCTGGATTACTGTAACACACTCTATGCGGGGCTGCCTCTGAAAAGTGACAGGAAACTTCAGCAGGTCCAAAACACAGCAGCCAGATTGCTAACTGGGGCTGGATATTGGGATCATGCAACCCTCCTGTTACAGCAGATACCCTGTTGCAATCTGTTTCCAGGCAGAATTCAAAGTGATGGTTCTCACCCATAAAGCCCTAAACGACTTGGGCACAAGCGATCTCAAGGATCGTATCTCCCTTTACGAACCTGCTGCTGATGTTAAGATGACCAGGAGAGACCTGACTCTCAGTCCCATCAATATAGGGATCATGCGACCCTCCTGTTACAGCAGATACCCTGTTGCAATCTGTTTCCAGGCAGAATTCAAAGTGATGGTTCTCACCCATAAAGCCCTAAACGACTTGGGCACAAGCGATCTCAAGGATCGTATCTCCCTTTACGAACCTGCTGCTGATGTTAAGATGACCAGGAGAGACCTGACTCTCAGTCCCATCACACAAGTGATCTCAAGGACCTATCTCCCTTTATGAACCTGCTGCTGATGTTAAGATCATCAGGAGAGACCTGACTCTCAGTCCCATCACTGTCATAGGTACACTGATAGGGACGCAGGAGAGGGCCTTCTCTGTTGCTGCTCCCAAGTGCTGGAACTCCCTCCCACAGAAGGCTGGACGGCCCCCATCTTTACTGTCCTTCCACATGCAAGCAAAGACCTTGTTGAGGGAAAATCAGCATGGCTTCTATAAGGGTAAACCTTTTTGACCTTTTCAAAAGGTCAAATATACCGCCCCATAGTGCTTTAAGCACTCTCCGGACGGTTTACAAGTTAACTATGCAGGCTACACATTGCCGCCCCCCCTGCGAGCTGGGTACTCATTGACCTCAGAAGGATAGAAGGCTGAGTCAACCTTGAGCCGGCTACCTGGGATTGAACCCCTGGTCGTGAGCACAGTTTTGGCTGCAGTACAGCGGTTTAACCACTGTGCTACGAGGCATGTGGATGTGGGCGAACCAGTTTAGATTGTCCATCTGGATTTTCAGAAGGTGTTTGACATGGTCCCTCACCAAAGGCTGCTAAAAAAACTCCACAGTCAGGGGATAAGAGGGCAGGTCCTCTTATGGATTGAGAATTGGTTGAGAACCAGGAAACAGAGAGTAGGTGTCAATGGGCAGTTTTCACAATGGAGAAAGGTGAAGGGTGGTGTGCCCCAGGGATCTCTCCTGGGACCAGTGCTTTTCAACTTGTTCATAAATGGCCTGGAGACAGGGATAAGCAGTGAGGAGGACAAAAATGACACAAAACTTTTCCGGGTGGTGAAGACCAGAAGGGATTCTGAAGAGTTCCAGAAGGATCTTTCCAAACTGGGAGAATGGGTGGCAAAATGGCAAATGCATTTCAATATAAGAAAATGTCAAGTAGCACTCATCGGGGCAAAAAATTCTAAACTTTATCAGCTGATGGGTTCTAAGCTGTCCATGATCAGGAAAACAGATCTTGCTGTGCTGGTGAACAGCATGATGAAAGTGTCAGGCCAGTTCCATGCTATGTATCATTAAAAAGGGGATTGAAAATAAAACAGCCAACACTATCATGCCATTATAGAAAATGCTAGTAAGGCTGCACCTGGAGTATTGCGTACACTTCTGGTTACCGCATCTCAAAAAAGACATTGTGGAACTGGAAAAGGTTCAGAAGACAGTGACTAAAATGATGACAGCTGGGGCATCTTTCCTATGAGGAAAGGCTACAGCAGCATCTGGGGCTCTTTGGTCTAGAGAAAAGGCACCTGAGGGGGACATGATTGAGACATATACAATTATGCAGGGGATGGATAAAGTAGATAGAGGGAAGCTCTTTTCCCTCTCACACAATACTAGAACCAGAGGACATCCACTCGGATGGAGCATTGGGAGAGTGAGAACAGACAAAAGAAAAGATTTCTTTATCCAGCATGTTGTTAGTCTGTGGAACTTTTTGCCACAGGATGTGGTGATGGCATCTGGCTTAGATGGCTTTAAACGGGGATTGAACAGATTCCTGGAGAAAAGGTCCATCACAGGTTATAAACCATGATGGGGATGTATAATCTCCAGGCTTAGAAGGAAGGTACCTCAAATTGCCAGATGCAGGGGAGGGGTATCAGGAGACAGGTATCTCATTGTCTCGTGTGCTCCCAGTGGCATCTGGTAGGGCCACTGTGACATACAGGTAGCTGGACTAGATGGGACCTTGGCCTGATCTGGTATCTGGTGGGGCCAATGTGACATACAGGTAGCTAAACTAGATGGGCCCTTGGCCTGATCCAGCAGGGCTCTTCTTACGTTTCTCTTCAGGCAAGCTTTCTCTCAGAAAATCGATTTTGTTGCTGTTGTTTAGTCATTAAGTCATGTCTGGCTCTTCGTGACCCCATGGACCAGAGCACGCCAGGCCCTCCTGTCTTCCACTGCCTCCCAGAGTTTAGTCAAATTCATGTTGGTAGCTTCGATGACACTGTCCAACCATCTCGTCCTCTGTCGTCCCCTTCTCCTCTTGCCTTTGTACTTTCCCAACATCAGCGTCTTTTCCAGGGAGTCTTCTCTTCTCATGAGATGGCCAAAGTTTTGGAGCCTCAGCTTCAGGATCTATCCTTCCAGTGAGCATTCAATTGTTGTACCTTACTGCATTGAATATGTTTTGGTGCTGGCTATATTTTTGGATATTGTATTCATTGACCCTTTTAGTATCGTATACTCATTATTACTAATCTTAAATACTGACTTTCAATTGTTGTAAGCTGCCTTGAGCATTTTTAAGAAGAAAGGAGGGTTAAAATATTTTAAATAATATATACGTACCAACAGTGATGTTGAAAAAAAAGGCAGTAAGTGTATTTATGTCCTTTTCTTCTGTATTACCCTAACCTCAAAATCCACACCATTGCAATCTCTTTGTACATTTAGAGTTGCTTGCCCACAATTGTTATTTTCAGTTTATAATGGTTATACTAGTCTCATCAAAAGTCATTTGATCCATGTCAATCAAGACCCTTATTTGAGCTCTTCTAGAGTTTTAAATGTTCTGACACGTATTCAAGCAACAAATGTTAATATTTAAACTGCATAGACATAAGTTCTCTGATGGCAGCTTCCAAAAAAAATAATAATAATCAGAATCAAGTATACACAAGGAGGGGGAACGTTAGAACAAACCATGCATTGGATCCTCAGAGTTACTTATGCTGGGAGTAAATTACTTTTTGGCTCCAAGGGTTGCACGAGATGCTGGCTGGCATACATGTATAAAACACACATTCTCCTGAGCTGGACAGGATACCAATGAAGTTCAAAGACATTACCTTCCCTCTGCAGCCCTTTCCTCTGGATACAGGGGTGGGTGAAGGATTGCCAACATTACCTTCCCTCTGAAGACATTACCTTCCCTCTGCAGCCTTTTCCTCTGGATACAGGGGTGGGTGAAGGAGATGATAAGGCAACTGCCACCGTACTCATGCCAGATACTGCTCAGAAGAGGAACAATGGTAGCCATTTAAAGACGAAAGGACCATATGCACCTACTATTGCTATCACCAGAATTTCTATTTTTATTGAGACTATCTTTGGTTTACAAATGGGCCCAAACCAAGGCCAAGTCCTGGTTTCCTAGAAGCCTTCCATACCTGTTGTTTCAGCAGCTCATTCTGGGTCATCACTTCCTGCTGTCGGATGTTCATGGCAGACTCAATAGGGCTGTTGAAAGGAGCAGAGGCTTGAAAGTTCAGGGCCTCTTCTAAGGCCTGAGGGGAGACAGGAACAGACAGAACCATCAGAGCAACTTAGAGGGACCCTAGTAATACTCATAGCAAAACAACTGCAGAAGGCAGATATTTGTGTGTGAACTGCAGCAGTGGCAAGTGTTATGTGCTTTACTACTGAGGGAAGTTACAACCTACGGGGAAATAATATATCACTGCTACAGAGAAATGTAAATGTTGGGAGGTATGAAATCTTGGAAGTGCACCCACCTTATTTAGCCGGAGAATCTCCTTCTCCTGGTACTCCCTTTGCCTGGTGATTGGAGTCAACTGATCCTGAAGGAACTTTATCCTCTGTTTTAGGTCCTTTACCTCCCCAGTGAGTTGTTCCTTTTCTGCCTGAGAGAGAGGGGGGGGGTATAAAAATCAGTCAGCCTTAGACATGAATACAGCATGGGAGACCTGCATGTAGCCCTCAGCCTAATTTCAACACCCTTTTACAAGCAGCCAACTCAGACCTCTGGAAATAGTGTTTCAGCCCTCCTCCAGAAGCCTACTGGGTGGGAGGAAAAGAGAGAGGAGGTGTAACACATGTAGCAGCTGTACATCAGGAAGCTTTCAGATATATTAGCACTGACCAAATGCATCTGATGAAAACATAGGTGGACAGATTCTCATGCCACCTGCTTTCCATTCCCTTATATGAAAAGAATGCCCAAAAACCTCATGTATCCACCTGCCAGACAAGCTCAGTGCCCCATCAAGCCCATCTAAGGTCTAAAATAGATAACTAAACTGCAAGAGACAGACCATTTAGGAAAGCTTACAAAAAAAAATTCCCATCCATAAAACATCAGAGGTTTAGAAATTAAGCCGATGAATGAAGGAGCCTATATTTTATAGGTAGGGCATTTTGCAAACTTTGGAGGGCAGTCCGTTCCATTTGTTCAGTAGGAGCAGGGTCTCCCCCATGGTGGTGCCTTCCTTATGCCTTTTCTCTGGGCCTGCTAGACTACATCTAAGTTTATTCATCAAACAAAAAAAATAATGCCACACAGGCAACACACAGTGACCATTCCCTACCTGCGTTTCCGGCCAAAAGTTCACCACTATTTTGTATACCATAAAAGGAGAGACTCATGCTTCTGAAAGCATCCATAAAGCACAGTTGTCCCATAAACTAGGTGCCTAGTTCTGTTTTACAAAACATGCCCATTCTTTAGAGAGGTGGTCTAAGACCAGAATTTAAAACAGACTAATTAACAAACCAGAGAAACACATTATTACTGAGGGCATGAGCCAGGAGGTGGAAACCTCTCCTGCACCTGCTAAACATATTAGACAATGATCTGTTAGCAATAATTATTACTAGTTATAGTATTTCTATCTTATCTGAATATTTTAAAACATTTTAGAATTTGATGCTTCCACTGCTATTGTTACTCGCTAGTATGAGACTGAAAACCACAGGGGGGAGAGAGAATGCCACCAAATATTATCTTCCAGTTACAAAGGGCTTGATCTTAAATCTGGTGGCAAATACTGCTGCTTTCCAGCAGCTTTCTCCAACTTGGCACCCTCTGGACTACATCTCCCAGGATTCTAGAGCAAGTTATATTAAACCGCAAGATGGCGCTGAAGTAGAAAGGCTCTTCTTAGGAAGACTGACCTCCTCCTCTTCAATCTTGGATTTTGCCAGGAGAAGCTTGCGGTCAAAATCCCTCTGTTTCAGTTCCCGTTCAGCTTCCAGGTCAGCCAGTGCCTTCTGGCAGTCAGCTAGTTTCTGCCGTAAATCTGTTATCTGGGAAATACGGTATAATTCAAAAATTCATATCCTTCTAATGCAACCATACAAAAAGGCAAGGTTCAGTTTAAAAATGGTGGCATCAGAGAATGACATTGTGAAGTAGATTTGCCAGAAATGGTGTCTAGCAAAGGCAATTCTGCGGGGAAACAGGGAATTCATCAAGTCCTACCTAAATGCTACTATACGAGAAGGGGCAAGATGTCAGTTTATTGAAAGAGAGTTCCAGTGAGTCAGCGGCACCATGTCTCCAACAGAGACCAGCCAGAATTATGGTATCTTAACAGCAGGCACTTGTGAAGGATCCTAAGCACATAGGTAGGACTTTAGGGGTATAACTTTAATGGTCTTTCATATGCTTGGAAGAAATACTAGTGGTGAAAAGCCATCTCACTCTGAAGGTTAAATATTTTTGAGTCTAACTGAAAAATAGTATGTGAAGATGATGGATAATAAACCAAATACAGGGCTATTGGAAATTAATGACATAAATTGACCCCTCAAGTACATGGAGTAATTGTCTCTAGTTTATTGAGAGCTGCTAAGTTTAATACAGCTAAGAATCAGAAAAGGTCTAAAACCTTAATGTCTAAGGAAAGGATAAATCAAGTCTGCCAAACCAACATAGTTAAGCAAGCAAATTGAAATTGTTAGATTCAAAGTTGGCAAACAATAAAACAGAATTCTATGTAAGCTGGCTGGCAAATCAATAAATTTATTTATTTATTTATTTATTTGATTTTTACCCCACCCCTCTAGACCATGTCTACTCATAGTTTGTGTATATTTGTTTTTGCTAAATTGAACTTCTCTGTTGTTTTTGGCCAACTGAGCGTGTCTTTTTAAGCTGTTTTTGGCCTATTAGTACACTGATTATTTGGATAATTTTCTAGAAATTTACAGTGGGTTTTTATTATATATGTAATAGATCAATTTCTTTAAAACCTTGAAGTATTTAAACCCGAGACAGGTGCCATGAGAAAAAGACAAAAGCTTAATAATAAAAGCCTAAAGCTACGTAAATACAAAGCAACAGGGCCACAGAAACTTCCAGTTTTCCCTTTAATGACATCTCTCTCAACATTATTTTCTTCTAGCACGAATAGCAAGACAACCTTCTTATTTACATGATGTGGAAGAACAGCTGCCTACAAGGGGCTGTCTTTGTGCAGCAAACGGATACGTGGCCATTACCTTTTGCTCATATTGTTGCTTCATTGATCGGAAGTGGTGGTCCCATTGCTTATTCACCTCCAGGAGCTATAAAGAAATCCACAATTATCTTGAGGTACAGAGCCTCAATTTGCTGCTAGTGTAGTCCTTGAGACAAACTTGCCAGCACCTTCTGTTTCAGGGTTCGGGGAAACCCAAAGGCTAGAGACCCTGAACTGCAACTCCCATTATCTATCACCATGTGCCAGGGTGGGTGAGGTCTAGGAGAGGTAACATTCAAAACTCTTTGGGGAGGGGAGAGATCCAGGTTACTACCCTGTGGTGAAAAACAGCTACCTCTGTTTTGAGCATAGGCTGCTCACGCATTAGCCAAACAAGTACCAAAGTCCTGTTGCCTAGTTACACTCATCCACTGGCCCAGCATGTGTCCAAAAGTCTCAGGAGTGACTTGTTAATTGCCAGCAAGAAGCTACTAAAAGCTACACCACTGTTCCTTTTCAGGTATAACAAACCAATAGGAATTTCCCCCTCATACCAAGGGAAAATATTACTGGGGACCAATTTAACCAGCTTAGTTTTAGAAGTTCTAGCAGAGAGGGGGCTCTTCCAAAGAATGCACGCCGTGTGTCATGCAGTGGAGGAGGAATACACTCTGAAGCAAAGGTTTTCATGATAACAGTTGCCATAGCCATGCTCCAATGAAAGTCCACAGATGCAGGCAGCTGTACTGACCCAAATCAGATACATATATGCACACAGAGAATTCTGAACTGGAATAGGTCAACACTCGCAGTGTGAGGGTTTTATTGTCATGTGTTGTCTTTCGTAGCACTTTACTGCCTCAGGAATCTCTATTATTAAGGGAAAAGATATAAACATTTGAAATATAGGCACATGCTGTCTGAGGAAAACCTCTTTTCCAGCCTAGGAAGGTCTCACTTACCTCATTGCGTTGGTGCTCAAGTATCTTGACTTTCTTTTCACTTGCCCCCAACATGCTTTTCCCTGCCATTTTCTCCTCAGCAGCTCCTTTCTAAAAGCCAGAGACACAAAACAGTTCTGACAGGCAGCCAAGAGGCTCATTTGTCTCATGGCTACATCTGTGCCCCTACTTCTGAAGCACCCAGAACATTATACTAGCTTTGCCCAACCCAAGGCCTTCCTCATATACTGGAATACCATTCCCATCACCCAGTCAGTATGGTGGGCATGACGGCAGCTGTTATCTAAGACACCTGGGGGAAGGCAGGTTAAGGAAAGTTGCAGGACACAACTACCTAGACCAAACACAATTGGAAGAAGATTTAAAAAATGCTGATAGGTATGTAATTAAAAACAGCAGGGACACATTACTGTCATGAGCAACTGGAGCAAGGAATAAGAAACAGGAGCCACCCTATAAATAACCAAAGCAGCCTACCTGTTGCAGTCCTGCCCATTCAGTGCCTTCTGCTTTTGTTCCTTCTTTACTACTTATCATCACCATCTTCCTGAGCTCCAGATTCTCACACCTACAAAAGGAGTATTAGGGCTTTGTAGAATTTGCCGCATAACGGGGAAGGATGGTAGTTAGGAAAGGAAGGATGGCACAGAAGCTTGAATACAATTAATTTCAACATTCCCTGAATAAGTTATTCCCCTATGCATTTGATTAGAATTAGTTAGAGAAGATAAAGCTAATCACTAGCAGCCAATCTTGAGGGCTCTATGGATCAGAGTTACCATGCTTCTAAATATCATTTGCAAGAAAATGACAACAGGAGATAGCTAACTATTCTAGGATCCCAAGACAAGTCTGCTTGGGTCACTGCGGAAAACAAGATAATGGAACAGGCAGGCCTTTGGTTAGGTCCAGCAGTGATTTTTATGCTATAGATATATAAGTTGAATAAAGTCTTTTCTTTTCTCTCCTCTCACCAAAAACACAAAAACAAACAAAAAACAAAAAAACTCTTGGCCAAAGCAACATGTCTGTTCATTAGATTTGCCTCTTGCCTTGTCACGGCACATTCCACATGCCTGACAGGAACCGCATAAAAAGTTACAGCTGTTCAATACAAATCTGAAGAAACAAAAGCAGAAGGTTCCAATGGGAACTTGGCTCCAAAGGGGACAAAATTAGCCCACTGCCAAAGCAGTTTTTCGAGGAGAGGCAAAAGTGAGGGATTCCACCCACCCTGGAGTAGCTCAACTTTTAAAAGAAACACACTTAAGGGCATCTGCATTAGCAACGGGTCTACTATCTCCAGAAATTAAGTGAGGCATACATCCTAGGTTCCTTGAGATGTTGCTCTTTTATAGCAAGGTGGAAGTAAATCAGAAAGATGTACACTGTTCTTTTCCTGGGGTTGGAACAGATCATATGTACATGTACGGGGAAGGAATTCCATTTATCAGTCTCATCTGATAAACAGACACTTTACTCAGCATTGCCCCAGCTAGCATTCGTATAATCTGAAATCATCCCCAACTGCCTGAACAATGGAATCACCATAAGCCTTTCCCAGAAATTTTTTTTCCACTTGTCATTTTTTGTTCTAAATACCAAGTTTGAAGAAAGGTCTTATATAACACACAAGTATGCACATCACACTGAACTATGGCTTAGATTCATTATTGTCTTTATGGGTTTTTGAGATATTGTCCTCATGAGATAGACCAACAGACCATATATAGATAATGGCTTTTGCTTAAGCGTACAGCTAGAGGTAGTATACCAATTTTTGTCTAAAAAGGTTTATACTCTATAGTGCTGTTATATTAGTGTTGTTATCTGCCTTAAGTCAAAACCTTAATAAGGCTTTCAATGTAAGTAGGTATTTAAGAAGTGGCTTTATCAGTGCCACACCCACTATGGCTGAGAAAGAATTTGAACCCTGGTCTCCAGAGTCCTAGTCCGTTCTCTATCCGTTACATCTCACTGGGTTTTCACCAAAAAAAAAAAAAGGTCCAGTATCGAGATGCACCTTATCTTTCTTAGGGCTATGTTAAGTCCTCAACATGAGGGGTTGCTCCCAGCCTGTGCAACTGACGAACAAGACCACGCCTCAGTTGTTTTTATGTGCTGTCAAGTTGCTTCCAATTACACCAACCATATGAATCAAAGACCTCCAAAAGGTCCTGTCATTAAGACGTTCCTGCCACAATTATGCCTCTAGGCGGCAGCATGCCACAGTAATGAAACTAAAATATCACTATGTTTAAACAAACACTTCAGGCTAGAAACGTCTAAGAATTTCTTATCAGTTCATTTTTGATCAGAATTTACCAAAATTTTGAATGTGGAACGAATAAGAAGGGACAGATTGGCTCATTTGGAAGAAGAAGCGGGATTTCATTTCGATCCACTTTAAAAAAATCATAATTAACCAGCACTTGAAGGTGAGAGAAAGTGAACAGATTTATCTCTTCCAAATTGTGACTTTGCACCGGAACAGATGAAAACAAACATGGCCAAGGAGGCTTTTGATTGGAATAAGCAAGAAGTTGAAAGTCAAGCTATTCTTGAGAAACTAATTTTTTTTCAGCTGAGGCCATGAACACATAGATGATGTCCCAATTTCTAGAGATCTGTAATTTGTGTCTGGAAGCTCAAAAGACTTTATGACCTCAAAACAGCTTACACTGAAGGTGGGAGCAGGATACAGCCTACACAGATTGTGTATAGCTCTCCTAGCAGTTTGTTCAGTTACTCCTACAACTATGAAAAAAACTTTTTACATATGATCTCTAGTGACAATTTCTTTTTCTTTTCTTTTTTATTTAAATATAAATAATAACAACAACACTAGCACAGAATGTGTGTACACACAATACAATACAACTAGAATTCACCACCTGTGCCACCGTCACCCTCGGGACTAGGTAACCAGAAATATCATTTTAATCCCTTTTCACCCCATTCCACTCCAAAAATACATTGACTCTTCTGCTGGCTTATGACCTTTCCCTCTTCCTAAGACATACACCAAATGTAACTTCCATAGCTCTTTAAAATCAATATATTTTGTAATTCCCCTTCTTACTTTCATTTCACATGTCAGCTCATCATTAATTGCTAAACTCCACATTTCTTTGTACCAGTCTTCAAGATTAATTCTTGTCACTTTTCCAATTCTTTGCAAATATTAATCTTGCTACTGTGACCATTATGACAATTAGCTCTTTCTGTTCTTTTTTAAGATGGCCGTTCTTAATTATATTTAAGAGGGCACTAATTGGTGATATTTGAATATCTCCAATAATTTCTCTAATTTCTTTAAAAATCTAGTGACAATTTCTAACAGGGCAGAAAATGAAAAAGTGGATTTTCTAGATGGATTTCACACATTATATGTGATTATAAGAAAGGCAGGTCTTTATTTCTTCGGCAGGGAGGATGTCTGGGAAAATTTTTGAAGCTCCACAAAGAAAAGCCAAAGATCATCACTTACAAAAAGCTCAATGAGGTATTTGTTCTTCCTAGAAAAGAACTTGGCTCTAGAGTAAGGAAAGATGGAAATCTTAATCCACATGACTCACTGAACAATAATAGGGTGCCTCTCTGCTATCAGGGTTGGTATTAGGCTTTCTCTTTTAAGACTCTGGGAGTTTGGATCCCTTCTGCAAAAATCACTTGGCACCAACTAACACAGAATTGAGTCCCTATAATTGCTTTCTGAAAACGATGTGTGAGATGGCTTTTCTTTTAGTCAGGTTTAATTGGAAACCTGGCAATGCACTAGACCTCACTCAGTGTCATCTGATGCAAGGAAACTCCCTTAATCCATCCCATGAGAATTCCCACCATTGTTCTCATTTTGTAGGAAGTGACTCCAATCCTTCTGTTGTTTCAAATCAGAGAGCAGTAATCCCTGGAATTGTCTCCTGTCAACAACAATATTTTGGACTCTTTTTAGGCTCATTTAAAATCAGACAGTGGTGATGGTTCAGGTGACCATAAAACAGAAAGGCTCTTAAGATTACCTAGATGCCAGCCTTTGGAGATCAGGTTCAGGTGCACCCCCTAGCAAGCACAGTGGTGCCTCACTTTACGATTGCCCTGCTTTATGATGAATCTGCTCTACGACAATCTTCTTGCGATGGTCTAAATGGGGGAATTTCGCTTTGCGATGATCAGTTCCCTGCTTCGGGAACCGATTCTTCGCAAAACGATGTTTTTCTAACAGCTGATCGGTGGGTTGAAAATGGCCGCCGGGTAATTAAAATGGCTCCCCGCTGTGTTTAGGGATGGATTCCTTGCTATACAGGCAGCGAAAATGGCTGCCGTATGGAGGATCTTCACTGGACGGCGAGTTTTTACCCCATTGGAACGCACTGAACGGGTTTCAATTCATTTCAATGGGTTTTTGTATTTCGCTTTACGATGTTTTCGCTTAGCGGCGATTTTCCTGGAATGGATTATCATCGTTAAGCGAGACACCACTGTATATTGGAAAACCCTGCTCAGCATGCTTACCTACCCAGGTAGACCCTCTAGAACCTGCAGGACTTTTTAAAAACTCCCCAAATAGACATGGGGGGGTTGTAGTCAATGTTTCCCAAAAGTTTTCCAGGATCTTCTACTTTCCTGACATGCACTCACTTTAGCTTCTCCGAGATCTGGTTCCTTTGCTCTAGTTCCTTTTCTAATTTTGTTCTCAACTCTTCGTTCTCCTTCCGTAATTGCTCACACAGCGCCTATTTAAAAGTACAAAGGAAAGAAAAAGAGAAAAAGAAAAGCATCAGTGATGACAAACATTTGCCTAGGACCACTCACTGGAAGGACAGATCGTGAAGCTGAGGCTCCAATATTTTGGCCATCTCATGAGAAGAGAAGACTCCCTGGAAAAGACCCTGATGTTGGGAAAGTGTGAAGGCAAGAGGAGAAGGGGACGACAGAGGACGAGATGGTTGGACAGTGTCATCGAAGCTACCAACATGAATTTGACCAAACTCCGGGAGGCAGTGGAAGACAGGAGGGTCTGGCATGCTCTGGTCCATGGGGTCACGAAGAGTCGGACACAACTAAACAACAACAAAATTTGCTTGTTTATACAGTCTAGAATAAATGCTTCCAGCAAGAGGTCTCTTTTTCCCCCCTTAACTAGCCTGCTTTAATTTGAAACTTCCCAATCCCAAATCACATGAATCTCTTTCTTCAGATTCTGACATGCCTGAGCTAGAATTCTTATATCCTTTTATTCCCCTAAGGAACCCAACATTGAGCACATACCTTCTCTCAACAGTCATAAGAGGTGGGTTAGTTAGGGAATGAGAGATGCTGACTGGCTCAAGATTTCACGTTGTCACTAACCATTCTATTGTATCAGTGTTCTGAGGTCTTGGAACAGCGTCTAGTGTGGCTGAGAAGGCCAATTCGAGAGTGACAATCCCTTCCACACTGAAGACAAATACAATCTGTCCCCTGTCCAGCTTCCTTATTTTGCTGGTTTCGGGATTGCTTCTTTGCCTTCACCCACTGAACAAGTGTCTCTTCAAAATGGGAGAGGCCATGATGCATCGCCTGCCTCCAGGCTGAACGCTCAGACATCAAGGTTTCCCATCTGTTGAGGTCTATTCCTAAGGCCTTCAGATCCCGCTTGCAGATATCCTTGTATCACAGCTGTGGTCTCCCTCTGGGGCGATTTCCCTGCACTAATTCTCCATACAGGAGATCCTTTGGAATCCTTTCCCTGCACTAATTCTCCATACAGGAGATCTTTTGGAATCCTACCATCAGCCATTCTCACGATATGCCCAAGCCAACATAGATGTCACTGTTTCAGTAATGTATATCTGCTAAAAAGTCCAGCTCATTCTAGGACTACTCTGTGTAGAACTTTGTCCTGCCAGGTGATACTAGAAATGCATAGGAGACAATGCATATGGAACATGTTCAACTTCCTCTCCTGCTGTGCACAAAGGGGTCGAGGACTCACTGCAGTACAGGAATGTACTCAGGTCACAGGCTCTATAGACCTGGATCTTGGTATATGCAATCAGTTTCTTATTAAGCCATACTGTCTTTGTGAGTCTAGAGAACATGGTAACTGCTTTGCCAATGTGTTTATCCAGCTCAACATCTAGAGAGAGGCTGCTAGAGATCATTGAGCCAAGGTACACAAAATCATGAACAACCTCCAATTCTGATTATTAGTTCAAAATCTTGGCATGCCGTACTAAAGTGATTCATAAGTTATTGGAGCTCTTCAGCAGAATGGGGAACAACAGCTGCATCATCGGCAAAGAGGAAGTCCCGCATGCATTTCACCTGGACTTTGGACTTTGCTCTCAATCTAGAGAGATTAAAGAGCTTTCTGTCTGATCTAGTCCGGAGATAAACATCTTCTGTTGCAGTTCCAAAAAGTGCGCTTCAGCATTACAGCAAAAAAAGATTGCACGAGGACGCAGCCCTGTTTCAGTCCATTTCGAATGTCAAAGAGATCAAAAACTACAGTGCCCTTCATTTCCTCATGAAAGGACCTGATGATGTTAGAGCTGAGGTGGACATCCAATCTTGGGAAGTATTTTTAAAAGGCTGTCCCTGCTAACCAAATCAAGGGCCTTTGTAAGATCTATGAAGGTCACAAAGAGTGGCTGTCATTCCCTACATTTCTCCTGCAACTGTCTGAGGGAAAATACCATGTCGATGGTGGATCTATTAAATAGAAATCCACACTGTGATTCTGGATAGACTCTGTCTGCAAGGACCTGGAATCTCTTCAGCATGACACGGGCAAGTGCTTCCCTCCAATGTTAAGAAGAGAGATGCCATGGTAGTTACTGCAGTTGCCCGTTGCCTTTGTTCTTATACAATGTGACAATGTTTGCATCCTTCATGTCCTGTGGTACTCCACTTTCCCTCCAGCAAAGACAAAAGATTTCATGCAGCTCAGTGGTGATGAGCTCTTTACAGCACTTCAGCAGGGATATTGTCCTTCCCAGATGCCTTGCTGGAGATGAGGGAATCCAAGGCCGCTTTTATTTCTGCTAAAGTTGGTTTGCTGTCCAACTCTTCCAAGACAGGCAGGCACTCGATGTTGTTTAATGCCTCTTCAGTTACTGTGTCCCCTGAATAAAGCTCAGAGTAGTGCTGCATCCAGCATTCCATCTGCTGTGCTCAGCCTTAGATGATCATGTCTGTAGCCAACTTCAAAGGAGCAGATTTCTTTGTTTTGGACCCAAAGCCTGCCTGATACCATCATATATTCCCTTTAATAGAATGGAGGGAAGAGGTAAAGCTGTCTACTAAAAGCTACAAGCCAAATGGGGCTCAGTAAGATAGAACTTAAGTGACACAATATTGCAAATTCCAAGTGGAAGGAGCCTTGACAGGCTTGCTTTTGGCCCAATCTCAGGTAATCACACACACGGAAAATGGACCAAACCAGAGTGATCCTACCTGTACCAAAATAGTAGCAATACCTGTCTGGGGATCAGAAAGGTGTGAGTAGGAATGCCCTGGGGATGGTTTGCATTGCTCCAGCAACTACGTTGTGTGATCGCTAGAAAAAGGAGCAAACACACCATTGCTAGAAACATAAGGATTACCTGAAGAATGAATAAACAGAGGCTTCAGATAAAGAAATAAAGCAACTGTCTACACAGCCAACAGGTCTCAGGGTGTTAATTTAACTCAAGTGTATTAATAATTGCTAGGGGTAATGATAGTAGTTTCATGACATTTCATTTAGATAAGAATTCAGCAAAATCTGCCCATTTCTTCATCTTCAAAATGACAAGAACTTGACAGTTTTTTTTCTTTTTTCATGAGGACTGAAACAAACAAAAAGAGTTCATTTCAGGTCAGGACATACAGCACCAAACTCTTAAAAGTTTGGCGTCAAATCCCAGTGCATTCAGCCATTTCAGAGCAGAATTAACTTTGCCAGCTCTCTCTCTCTCTTTCTTAGGGAGAGAGAGAGGGAGAAGGAAAGGGAGAGTCTCCTCATTTTTAACATACATACGTATATTAAATAGGTATGGCATGATCTTTCCAATGCCCAGGAAAGGATGTACCTATTGAATTAGACTGGTGCAAATGTTTACAAGCATTTTGTTTATTCTGTTTTTTGGAAGAACCAGTTATTATAGCAATAATGTTCTAAAACCAATTGTTTAGACCAAATTTTGTTGTTTCGTCGTTATGTCATGTCCGACTCTTCGTGCTTTGGATGCAACATAATGTTTGTTGTTTAGTCATTAAGTCATGTCTGACTCTTCGTGACCCCATGGACCACAGCACACCAGGCCCCCCTGTCTTCCACTGCCTCCCGGAGCTGGTTCAAATAAATGTTGGTAGCTTTGATGATACTGTCCAACCATCTCGTCCTCTGCCTTCCCCTTCTCCTCTTGCCTTCACACTTTCCCAACATCAGGGTCTTTTCCAGGGAGTCTTCTCTTCTCATAAGACGGCCAAAGTATTGGAGCCTCAGCTTCAGGATCTGTCCTTCCAGTGAGCACTCAGCGTTGATTAGACCAAATGGGAGGGGATATGAGATAAACCAGTACTTTTCCCTCCCTCCCTTCCAATTCAGCTGCAATCTTTTTTTAAATACAAGTTTTGTTTCATTGTCCTAATTTTAGCTGCTAATCCAGACTACAGTAGGCCTGCTGAATGGTAAATCAACACTCAGGCAAAGCATAATGTTTCATTGCATATGTCTTAGCTGGGTCGACATTCATTCATTCATCCGGTTTTTACCCCACCCATCTAGATTCAAATGAATCTATTCTGGGCGTCTTACAGTCCAAGCAATATAAAACGAGAATATGTCCAAACCAAAGGAAAGAAAAAAGAAAAAAGAAAAGGAAGAAAAGTAAGCAAAGTTCAAGATGGGAAAACACAGGGAACTAAGTGATGGAAGAGGGGAAGGCCTGCCTGAAGAACCAAGTCTTCAGTCTGTTCTTAAAAACTCCCAGCGAGGGTGCCTGGTGAATCTCAGGAGGCAAGATGTTCCAGAGGCAAGGGAGAAAGCCTGGTTTCTAGTTCTCTCCTTCCAGGCCTCTCTCAGGGTCAGGCCCCTCAGCCACCCAGCCTAGCTAAATTGAGTGACATGAGTAGAGCTAGGTGGGAGCAGGCATTCTGCCAGGTATCAAGGTCCTAAACCATTTAGGTCTTTATATGTAAGCGTTAATACCTTGAAGTCAATGCGAAAACGAATGGGCAACCAGTGTAAGGCCACCAGAGTGGGGGAAATGTGATGATATTTTTCACCTCGGTTAACAGTCTGGTGGCCGTGTTCTGGACCATCTGTAGTTTCCACATCAATATCAAGGGTAGTCCCACATAGAGCGCATTACAGTAGTCCAATCTCGAGACTATGAGTGCATGGACCAGAGTGATGAGTGCCCCAACATCAAGATAGGAGAGCAGCTGGGCAATCTGCCGAAGATGCAGATGGGCAATACAGACCACAGACACTACCTGGGACTCCATGGTAAGCGCTGGGTCATGATGAACCCCAAAGCTGCAGACCACACTCTTAGTGGTGAGAGTTATCCCAAAAGAGAGGGAGCTTCCCAAACCACTGATAGGAGGGACGCCCACCCTCAAGACCTCCATCTTGTCCAGGTTCAGCCTCAGCCCATTCTCCTGCATCCATGGCAGTACAGCCCCCAGGCAGCACTCAAAGGACGCAACAGCATCCATTGCTGTTGGAAAAAAGATGTAGAGCTGTGTGTCATCAGCATACGGATGACACAAAGCACCACACTCCCAGATGACGCCTCCCAGTGGCCTCATATAGATATTAAGCAGCACTGGAGAGATGATCGAGCCCTGCGGCACCCCACAATTAAGGAGCCACAGGGCCGATACATTTTCTCCAAGCTGGATTCTCTGGGAACGGTCCCCCAAGAAGAACTGGAGCCAGGCAAGAGCCAGACCACCAATCCCCAACTCTGAAAGCTGTCCCAGGAGTATACCGTAGTCTATGGTTATCAAAGGTGTCTGAGATATCAAGGAGAACCAATAAGTACATTTTGCCCCTGTCGGCCTCCCTCAGTAGGTCATCAAGCAGGGCAACTAATGCCATTTCTGTATCATGACTCAGCCTGAAGCCTGACTTAAATGGATCCAGAGCACTGGTTTCATCCAAGAGAGCCTAAAGCTGATCGGCCACCACCCTCTCTACAACCTTGCTAAGGAAGGAAACATTGGCGACAGGCCTATAATAGCCAATGTTGTCTGCTGCCAAGCTTGGTTTCTTCCTAATAGGCCTAATGAGTGTCTCCTTGAGGAGTGACCCATTAATTCTTGCAGTGGCCCATTCAGTTGTCACAGGCCTGGCCGCTTTGATTTGCTAGGCTGGGCAAGAGTCAAGGGAGGAGGAGGAGGCATGGCAGTGATCAAGTACTGTGTGAACCTCAAATAACGTCACCGGCTGAAAGTGAATAATTCTCAAGCAGCGATCAAGTATCTTGTCAACCTCAAATAATGTCACCGGCTGAAAGTGAATAATTCTCATCGGACAACACGAGGCCCTGGATGTCTCAGCTCAATCTAGTGGTTTCAATTAAGGGGTTAGGTCTCGGCGGATGGCCTCCACTTTAGCTTTAAAAAATGCTGCAATTTGGTCAGGTGAGATAATAGGGGGAGGCCAATCACTATGACCAATTCCGGATAGATCGCGTACTATGCGGAATAATTCTGCCTGCTGGTTGGAAGCTATAATGACAGATTCTTCCACAAAAATAGGGAAGAATTCTGTTTGGATTAGGGGGTTAGGTCTCGGCGGATGGCCTCCACTTTAGCTTTAAAAAATGCTGCAATTTGGTCAGGTGAGATAATAGGGGGAGGCCAATCACTATGACCAATTCCGGATAGATCGCGTACTATGCGGAATAATTCTGCCTGCTGGTTGGAAGCTATAATGACAGATTCTTCCACAAAAATAGGGAAGAATTCTGTTTGGAGGAGAACAGATAAATCAAATGTGATGCATCTGAGCAGATACAACGGGCATTGGGTATATTGACCAACACACAGGTGTAAACACATATAAGACATGATGGGGTGCACATGAAATGTTTCTAAAGTTCTTCACTCATGTTCTAGCTCATGTTTTTGTCCACGGAGTAGGATATGGGGGAAAATGAAAGAGACAAAGAAAAGGACCCTTAGGAAAACAGGGAAGCAAATGAACAAGGCACATCTACCAGAAGCCCTCTGACCTGAAGAATGGACGTCCTCTGCTCATTCTTGTGCACCTTGGATGCCAGGCGGTTGAACTCCAGGGCCATGCGCCCCAGGTGGGCAAAGAGCTGGGTTTTGTCAGACTCCTCGGCAAAGAGGCTTAGGGTACTCTCCAAGCGCTGAAGATGGAGCATAAGGTTGGCATCCTCGTTGGGAAGTGGCTCAGTCTCCTGCAAACAAAGAGACCAAACAGTCAGGCGCTTTTCAACAGAGAAGGAAGAACAAGAGAGAGGCTGGCTCAAGCGGCAGCAGGAAAGCAGCATGGCACTTTTTTGCTTCATTCAGCTTAACTCCAGACAAAATGATATAATAGTTGTTGTGGGTTTTTCGGGCTCTTTGGCTGTGTTCTGAAGGGTGTTCTTCCTAACGTTTCGCCAGTCTCTGTGGCCGGCATCTTCAGAGGACAACACTCAAGATAATATAGTTTCCTTGCAATAGCATACCCTGCACTTTTTTGTACTTTGTAGAGAAACTGTAGCCTGGCAGAAGGCAGTCCAGAGGTGGGAGAGGCTTCCAGAAATGCCCATATGCATTTCCTTGTTCTCATTATATTCATTTTGTTATTTTTTTTAAAAAAAACTTGTGTCCAGAGAGCGGTTGCATTAACTTGTGAATGGGTTACACTTTCTTTGCTTTTAGACATAAAGTTTAGTTCCCTCTTAGAAACAATCCAGCGTGTTCATGTCTTTTGCTCGGTTCATGCACCAAAGAACTCCCCCATACTACTGATTTATTTATTTTTTTAAATACCAAGTAGGCTCTCTCTTTGGATTTTCATAGAAACTGGGAGGGGAAAGAAGCCTTACATTGCTCTTTGCCCTGAAGGTATAATTTGTTGCAACAAGTAGAAACAAGGGATTGGGGGGTGGGGGTGGGAATGGGATACAGATACGGTGCAGAAGCAAAGGGACAGACCTCCCTCATGGTCCCAATTTGAAACAGACTTCATGCAAACCTCTCCAAAGACATAACAATACATTTACAAATAAAGCTGAATGTGCACCTTTCATTCTCTAGCATGTTTTTCTGAGTTAAAAGAATACCCCAGAGTGCGCTCATGCTCTTACACTCCCACACTGCTAAAGACATGTACTGCTGCATCCTGGAACCAAGTGGTCCTCCCCATCCTTCCAATATCCCCACTCCTACCTCTCTTAGAAAGTCCTTGTTCTCCAGGTCAGTTAGGTACCTCTGAAGCATCTGCACTGACTTTCACTCCAAAGCACTGGTGCAGAGAGCATCTCTGTCAAGAGCTCTACAGCTGGCACGCATTGTCTTTATACAGAGCCAGTTAGTCCCTCGTTCACAATGCATCTGCCCTTGACACACACAGCCAGAGAGCCACACCCTCTTACTTACGTCCATGTCGCCAAGCCCTCACTGTTGATTCAACAACTCTGCAACAGCACCAACCTGACCTGGATTGCTAGGGCTGATTAACTCCTTGGTTGCCTGGGAGATAGGAGCTGTGATGCAGAGTTCCAAGCAGGTAACAGCTATCTGCCTGCCTAACAGCAAGCCAGGACTCACCAGGCTCCATGCCATCTAAGCGAGTCACCTCACCTCACCTCCAGTCCATCAAAGTAGGTTCAAACGAACTCTCTTACAGCGGCTTTAGAAAGGAATCTTGACAGGTGAAAGGCAGGGAAATGCCACTTTTCACCCGGGGCTCTGCTAGCTGACTCATTATCTCCTCCCCTCTGTGAATTTCAGTCCAGAAGGAGAAAAAAAATCCCAGTCTTGCGAGACATTGTCCATCTCAGTTGCTAATGACTCAAAAGGGAAATATATACAAGAGAAAAACGATAATGAACTGCTCCAAGCGCCAGGCTTTTATTGCTTCATCTGTTTTCAGTCCCCAAAGCATCAATTTTCAGGAAGATAACAGTAGGTTCAAACTAGCTCTCTTACAGCTGTTTTCTCCAAATATGGTGACCTTCACACATGCAAAACTATAAATTCTATAAACTCCTAGCCAACACACATACATTCTGGAAAAAAAAAAACCCATTGATACCCCAAACATTCCAAATAGGAAACAAAGTTGTTAGGAAGAAAAAATCGATTATAGAAGAACCAGTTGTACATATAATAATGCAGCTGTTCTTCCCTTTTTCCTTTTCCAGAGCCCCAACTGTACGACACAATGGCCACAGCTCTGTTAATATTACAGATGCTAAAATTCTGGGATGGCTTAAATCCTTACAGAGCTCGAGTATCACCCAGATATGACTTTACAGGTGCAGAATGCAGCCTGTGGCTTCAGAAATATCCGAACAACTAGAATCCAATGGCTATCTTTAAAGCAGGGATAGAGAACCTGACAGGGACTTTACAGTTAAGGGGGTGCCCTTTCCTTTGCCCCAGCAGAGGTTTATACAGTTCAGGTACCAGTAATCAGACAGAAAATGGAATTGAGAACAATCAAGTAAAGAAAATTGTACTGTAGCAATATTGTAGCAGTAGTAATACATACAGCGGTACCTTGACTTGAGAATGTCCCTGCATAAGAACGATTCGAGTTACGAATGGCTCCGTTTGCAAAAAGTTGCTTCGAGAACGGAGCCTTGATGTAAGAACCAAAAAAAGGAGAAAAAAACCCTTTCCTGCCCTTTTATTTGACCTAAGTTCACCTGACAGAACCCATGCCCCAAGTATGGTTGAACTACAACTCTCATAATCCATCACCACTATGTTGGCTAAGGCTCAAGGGAGTTGTAGTCCAACAAGCCCTGAAGGTCTCTACACATTCCCTGCCAAGATAATCATTAAAAGAGAAAACAAATAAGGGTGGATCCATATTTTTAAAATCTGATTTTTTGAGATGATTTAAATAAAATGATTTTTATTTAAATCATGATTTAAAACAATTTTATTTAAAAATCATTTTGTGCACCCTGATACACACACACACACACACACACACAGAGAGAGAGAGAGAGAGAAAACTAAGGTGGAATGATTTGAGATGACACTGTAGATAATAAATATCTGTGATGCACCACAATGCTTTTGTTACTGTTCCCACCAACAGAAAAGTGTTGCTGCCTCTGGTGGGAGAGCCACCCATTGTCATCCAGGGTTTTAGCAGGAGGCATCTCATCTGATGTAACACAGACACATGTGGGAGAAGGGAGGGAAGTTGTTCACCTGCTACAATTCCAGGGAGCTGCTGTTACAGGCAAAGAAGAACATGCCAAGTGTTTTAACAGTGCAACACCCCTCATTGTGTGCCTGACATATGCTTGGCTATTCACCCCACCTACTTCCTCAAGTACAGATGATTTGCTTCACCCAAAACGGATCCACTCCAGATTGGTCATGCTGGCCAGATATGCTGGGAGCGGTTGTCCGACAAATCTGGAGAACGCCAGGTTGGGGAAGGCGGAGGTAAGTAGATGACTCATCAGGTTCAAGAATAAACTTCAGAGACACCGCTCAGATTTGTTTTAATCTGTGGAGATCCGTGACAGTACAAGTAGAGAATGGCAATGGTTTTCAGCCTCCTTCAGGGTATTAAACTGTGAAATATTTGGAGAGGGAGGGCCAGAGCTTGAGGCAGGCACTGATGATACACAACACTTCAGGCACAGGGTGACTTCCTACTCTGCTATGAGTTAAAGTCCATTGCTCTGGTCCATTTCATCACTCAATGACTTCCTACTCTCCTATGAGTTAAAGGCTTCCGTCCATTGCTCTGGTCCATTTCATCACTCAGGGTTTCCCCAGCCCCTTTCCTACGATGTGCCAGAGTAAGAAGTCCTATCTAATGTACACAGAGTTCTCTGCCATCCTGCTGGCTGGATGCCCAGGCTTGCCACAAAGCACTGCTAGCTCATGATGAGGAAGTAGCCTGCCAGTGTGAGGTTTTGCATATGAGAGCAAGAAAGAGATGGGGAAGGAGGGGGAATCTCTTGATAACAGCACTTGCCGATTACTCTCCTCATATCTTCACTGGAGAGTTCCCCCTCACAGCTTGTTCTCGGAAAGGGGCCAAGTGAAGAAATCAGAGGGCACGTGCATCTTTTGTGTGGTCACAGCCCCTTTGGGTAGACGTTCAGCAATGACAAGGCTGTCCCACCCACGGCCCAGCTATATAACTAGCAATCTCCCCTCTTAGAGAGGCACTACACATTGCAATCAACTGCAAAGGAGAGACAAGGAGAGACTGCCTAATTCTTTCTGCCTCTCTCTCTCTCTCTGTGTCTGTGTCCTTATGGGTCCAACCCTACATCAAGAGAAAGGGTATGTACACCCTTGTACCTTATCTCCTGTTGGAAGCTGCAGGAGCAGAAGCACTGTTAGGAAGAACAGCCCACCAGGAGAAGGGTTAAGCATCTGTCACCACACGAAGGCTTGGGTTCCATCTAACTGCCTTCTAAACTGCTACTTTAGGTTAAGCAAACATAAAATGCAACATATTGGAGTTGCAACATATGCAACCTTCCTGGGCCCAAACATCCTGTGCAATTTGTTCCTCTGCTGAAATAAAACCAAAGTAGACGTCTCCCTTTCCTGCCCCTCCACTCACTGCCTCCAATGCTGTTGAATATTAGGTAGCAAGTTCCTAGGGGCAGGGACCTATCTTTCTGCTACAGCTGCTCTGCAACTTGTTGGAAAATATAGTATAAAGAAAGGTACAGTACAAATCAAGCTGAGTGGTTTTGTTCTCTTCCTCTGGAGGGAAGGACCCCACCTGCCCCATCTCTTTTCCCATCTGCACGACAGCATAAGGAGAGGGAGAAAAACAGAGTGCAATCACAAAAGACATTACACATAACTCGTCTTCAAGACCACATGTTTTCTTTTTCAATCTTTTTAAAGTTTAGCTTATATTAAAGAAGAAGAAGAAGTCTACTTACAGATTTCCTACTGCTCTCTGGCAAAGACCTCTTATCTTCAGCACCCACAATTTCAAACTCAGATGAAGAGCCCTGGAAATGAGTTTTTTAAAAAATTACAAAATGAGTCAACTATCCTAAAAGCTCGTGGGTTTCATTCATTTCACCCAAACAGGAGTATGGATCAATGGTTTTATCTTATTGAACATAATCCCATTTCGGTTTGCAGACTGCGGATCACTTTGCTTACAAACAGGCAGAGAGTGGGACTTGCAACAAAATACTACGGTACAGCCTCACCTCTTAATGGGAGTGCTTCTCTTCCAGGACTCCAGACAGGGATTCCAGGATACTATAAGCTGAAAGGGACTCAGGCAAGCCAAATCCGCTCACACAACCGCTGTCTTCTGTTCCTCTCCTGCCCTCAACTGATAGCCCACATTTGGTGACTCCTGGAGGCCAATCAATCCCCAATGAGCAATTTAGGAAGTGCTTTCTTTAAGAAAATGGCTGTAGTTGAAAGAGCATTTTTGCAAGCCTTAGAGTTCCTGCAAGCAGGGCAGTAAGTGCAACACTTCTGCAAGGATTTGGGAGGATGGAGACAACTATGAAGCTAGTTGCCCATTAAAATGATAATCACATTCTATACTAGTAGCCCGTAGTTCCTAGACTTTCTCCTGAGATTACAGCACAATTATAAAACCTGCTTTGTTCAGTGGAAAAAAGGGTTTGATCAACCCAGTTTTCTCTTTCTTGCACCCTAATTCAATGTACACTATTCACTTAGAAGTAAGTATCAATGGATTCAATAGGACTTATTCTTACATACACATTTATTGGGGACTGTAGATTTCTCTGTATTTTTCTTGTGCTATGATGGCTGGCCTCATTAAAAGAAAAAAGAAAAACCCTTTTCAGGTATGATTTCTTACACTGGACGGAGGCCTCTGTGTGGTGTTTTCCAGTTCCTTCTGCCCTTCACTAGAAACCTTTGGGGAAGGGCAAAGATTTGGGACTTCTCCTGTGAAGGAAAAGAATTGAGTGAGCATCCATTTACTTAGATACCTCTCAGCACAGGAAGAAAGCCAAGCTCACTGTGGAGAGGCAGGAAATAGCTGAACTAATAAATATAAATAATACATAATACATGGGGAGAACAGAGAGGGAAAATAGATCTTAGGGCAGGATGGGGTTCTCACCGCCTACATTAACAGGAAATAGACTTCAGGGTGGTTTTGGCAAAAAGGAAAAAACAAAACAAAACAAAAACAACAACCATCAACAACACCACATTCTTAAAGTAACCACTACTTGTCCTGAGATGGTCACATCAGGTTTGGGCAAAACAAGCTCTTTGTAGGTATAAACAAAAACAGGTATACTGTAATGGGTATTGTAGGTATAAGGAAAAGAGATACTGCAAAAGGTGTACAGCATCCGCCTCCCCTCTCATCTTGTTTCAACCAGTTCCTGAATGTTCCAACACACATTTAAAATATAAAGCCAAACCAAAACATACACGTTAGATTATTTATCTTTTCCATGCTGTAATCATGGCTCTACCAGGGACGCCATTCAGGTGGTATTTAGTGTGCAATGCAAATGTGTATAAATGGTCTTTGATCAGCGTCAGCTGGAATTTCCCCCCTTTCCTCCTGGACTCTGCACTGCTGTAATAGTGAAAGATCAAAATCATCCCTCAGCTTTTCCATCTGAAGCCCATTTTGCTCTCAAAGGCATTTTAAAGGCATTTTCAGCACATAACACTATATCAGAATATAATATGTATTTGATGGATGATAAGAGTTGCCGAGGTTCAGAGGGAATTATACTAGTGGCTCTCGCACCTGGATCCACACACAGGATATGCCCCTTATGTGCTACAACAGAGTGTTGGACTAGGCCTGAGGAGGCCAGGGCTCAAATGTCCACTCAGCCAGGTGAGCGTGAGTCAGGCACAGGCTCTCAGCGTGGCCTACCTCACACAGTTGTTGTGAAGATAAAATGGGCAGAAGGAGAAGCCGCCTAGAGTGGTCAAAATGACTAGATAGGCGGGGTATAAATACAATAAAATAATAAATAAATAAATAAATAAAATATACGCCACACCTTGAGCTCACTGGAGAAAAGGCAGACTTTAAATGTAACCTATCTTTCCGTCCTAAGTGCATTTCGGCTTCCATGCGGCATTCCTTACTACTAATTTCCTATTGCGTGGTTATCTCTTTTTGGACCATCTCTGAATGGTCCAAAATGAACTGGCTTTGAGGGGAAAAAACACATCTGAAGTGACTGACAATTCATTACCCTTACACGTGAAACATCTACTGCTCAAGGGAGCCTTCCTTGCCCTGGATCATAGGAAGTCCACGATTCCATCATTACAATTTGGGTGTCATGTTTGTGGATACCTACTTGCAGAAGGCATGTAAGGATGTGGCAAGGGGAATCGCTGTGCCATTCATTCTTCTCCCTCTTTGTAAAATTCCCAGAATATGTCAGCTGCAGCAAAGGCAGATGACTCTATTAGGAAGGTGCCTTTGCCCTTCTAGCCTAGCACATTGTTGGCTAAGACTTTGTAGCCTTTCCCAGGGATGTGGGGAGAGAGGGGGCCTTCAAATATGGTGGCCAACATGCCAGGGACCTGAGCCCTTCACCAGGCAACGCACTGGCTCTGCTCATGGGCTAGGGTTGCCAAGGGGGGAAAAAAGGACTAGGACAGGACAGGGAACCTCCTGCAATGAAACAACATGTTTTCCAGACCTTTTGGTTAATGTTTCACTGATTACATAATTTGACAGAGAGGGGAACAGCAGTGAAAATGAACAGACATAACCCACACCTCTCCAGCTCTAGGCTCCAAAAGCTGCTAGAGTGTCAATGGTGCCCTTTAGTGATATAAATAGCATATATATTTGCAGTAACAAACATCTGTCTCACCCTTTGCTACTGCACCGTGCAAAAACAGCTGGATCAATTTCCACCATATTCGGAGGGCTCTCTTTGGGGTGGCATGACTTAAAACATGGCCTATGTGGCATACGTGAAATTCCCTTTGTGAGCATTCTAATTATTTTTTGTTACCCAATGTGTCATATCCTTTTAAAGGCTGAACCCCTTGAGTATAGAAATCTGTATGTTTTAAATTATGGTGTCATTTTATGCATAAGGGCGTGTGTGTCCTAATATTTATTTATTTATTTATTTATTTATTTATTTATTTATTTATTTATTTATTTATTTACCGCCTATCTAGTCAGAATATAGGCGGCTATATTCATTAATTGGGAGACATGCTTCCTGGGGGATTCTGGGACTTGCATTTTTGGATAAGCTGAATGGGTGCTAAGATAGAGAGAGAGAGAGAGAGAGAGAGAGAGAGAGTGTGTGTGTGTGTGAGAGAGAGAGAGAGAGAGAGAGAGGAAAGGGAGAGGCACAAGGGTGGGAATGGGACTCATGGGATTTTAATGCAGGCAAAGGTGGATGCACTGACTGTCCATATCTAGCTAGCCAGCCAGGCCACCAATACCCCACCTGCTTCCTAACCGCAAAGCTCACAACACCTCTTATAAGAAATTAGAATACACTAGCCTCAATTATTACAATCCATGAAATAAAAACAGAATAAGAGCTAATGTGATACAGATTTATAGTCCTTAACTACCCTCTAGTTCTTAGTAACTCTTTCTTCAAACACCAAGAAATCATGCTAAAAAGATACACTTTTACAGATATACGTAGCTACAAAGATAGTCCAAATATCTTGATCGGGAGGAAGTTCTACCAGCTCAGGCCAGTGTGCCAGGAAAGGCAGATCAAGTCACCATAATTTGCACCTCAATTCAATGACTATAACACACTCTCCATGAGGCAACTACCCTTGAAAAGTGTTCCAAAACTATACACCAAAGCGTGACAACCCTACCTGGATGAGTGGAGTCTCATGACAGTTACACACGCACTGGTAACATCCTGTATAGATTACTGCAATGCGCTCTACATGGGGCTGCCTTTGAAGATGGTCCAGTGACTGCAACTGGTTCAGAATCGAGCTGCGTGGCTGGTGAGTGGTGGGGCCGCTAGGGGACAGATCAAGCTGATTCTGTTTAAGTTACAGTACATTGGTTACCAGTTGCTGCCCGGGCCCATTTCAAAGTGCTTGTATGGACGTATAAAGCCCTAAAGGGCTTGGGCCCTGGATACCTGAAGGACCGCCTCCTTCCATATGAACCTACCAGCAGTTAAGATCTAGCCAGGGGGCCCTTTTGAAAGAGCTGTCCCTCAAGGAGGTAAGAGGGATGGCTTGTAGACAAAGGGCCTTTTCGGCAGCTGCCCCCAAACTATGAAATGCCCTCCCGACTGAAATTTGTCTGGAACCGACGTTGATGACGTTTTGGCGCCAGGTCAAAACCTTCCTGTTCCAGAAGGCTTTTAATTGAAATAACATCAACTGTGGGTCCTGATGGCATTTTAAATTGTACTTTAATCATTTTATCTTTTATTGTATTTTAATTTAATTTTAATTGTTGTAAGCCGCCCAGAGATCTTTGGGTAGAGTGGGCGGCACATAAGTTAAATAAATAAATAAACCAGGCGATTATCTATCATGTGCTGTAGAAACCCTATGTCACGTAGAAATGTTCAGGCTGTATAATAATGGACTCGCTTATCTCAAGCAGTCAGCAGTATTCTAATCACATAATGTAAGATTCTACAAGTTGTATGAGGAATGGGAAACAATCTGAAGACAATTCAGCACAACACAACCTCTTGTAGAATTTTGATGCTCTCAATTAATAGTTATGTGCCAGTAAATTGATTCTGATTTATGGTAACCCTTTTAGGGTTTTCTATTTGTAATGTACTCAGTAGTTCACTAGCCCTTCCTCCTCGTGGCTTTCTGGGACTGTGTAGCTTACTCAGGACTTTGCAATCTGGCTCTTCTCTTGGAAGGCAGTGTGAAGACGCTAACTCTTAACCATGGCTCTGCAACCAGATGCTCGAACTCACTGAGCAATTGGTGACGCACTGTCAATCCGCTTCTGACTCATGGCAGCCCTCATAGGGTTTTCAATGTGTGTGAAATGTTCAAGGGACGGTTTGCCACTGCCACCCCTGGTGTGAATTTTAACAGCCATGTGGAGATTTGAACTCCTAAGTCCTAGTTCAACTTGACCCATGATACTTAACTGGTTCTCAGTGGGCTATTAAACACTCTTAAGATTATGGCCAGAAGCTCCATTGTGCAAGCTGTGGGGCTTTTTTGTGGCCAGAAGCCTACTACTGCTCCATTGTGCAAGCTGTGGGGCTTTTTTGGCATTTGTGCATAGAGATGATTAACTACTTCTCAAAAAAGCTTAATGCAAGCTGGAAACAACACTAATGAATTTCAGGTCACCCAAGGAGAAGCCAGACATTGTGGAGCACCATGAGTGGCACAGCGCAAAAAGATTCTGGCCTAAGATTTAAATGACTAGTGAAGGAAAGCAGGCCCTGAGGGCCTCGATGCCACAATTAAGGAATGTTGTTGCCGTAAGTAGTTTGATTTGGTTATACCACTGCCACAGAAGAAATCAGCAACCAGATGGTTTATAAACTGCAAGATTCTCCCATCTGCCCTGCACAGATCTAGAATCCCTCAGCATTAGGAAGCTATGATCTTAGCACGGCAAAGATAATCATGTACCAATGGCTTGATTGCTACATCTCTTGCACAACTCAAAGCCACCATCAGTAATATTCCATCTAATTAACCAGCCTGGAATTTAAGGACTGTGTACAATAGAAACATCTCCTATCACCACAATGAGTCATTATGGCATGTGAAACACTTCTGAAGGACAAAGTGAGAGGCATATGAATGAGGTTGAGCAGATGAGTAACCGGGATTATAGTGCAGTGCTTAAACTTGGAGGCTAATGGTGACTACAAATTAGCTGCAGTGTGCCAAGTGTAGAATACCTGCACATTTCACATATCAGATGCTGGCCCCATCTCCCACCATAACTGGCAACATTGTGGGGTTGGAAACTACGAGCGACACATTTTCCAACCCACTTTGAACTTGATGTTTCTGTAGTAACGTGTGTGTGAAATTCACATCATCTAGATACTGATGATCTAGTACTAGTAGTGGATTGGTATAAAAAAACAAACCTGTGGCCCTCCAGATGTTATGGTAGTGCATCTCCCATCAGTACAACCAGTGGTGAAAGGCGGTGGAATTTGTGTCCCATCATAACAACATCTGGGGGACCACAAAATTGCCCATACCCAACATCAACTTTGGCCTTACAAGTGAAACTGAGAGCAAAAAAGGCCTCTGGCTCTTAACTGGATGATTACAATTTTGATGGGCCTTCCATGGCCAGTTAAAGGTTCTTTGAAGATTTAGGCCATCACAAGAACAGAATGCTGCCTTCCCTCAAGTCAGCCTATTTGTCTCTACAAAGCAATAGCTATGAACCTCCATCAGAGGACTTTCCATCATTTGTGGCCTGACATCCTTCTTGAGGACTGAACCCTCAGAGCATATGTTCTGCTGCTGAGCTGACTTGCTATTTTCCAGATGAGGAGGAGAGGAATGCCAAGTACCCAGGTCTAGTTCACATCCTGACTTGCTATTTTCCAGATAGGAGGAGAGGAATGCCAAGTACCCAGGTCATTGCATGTGTTAGAATGAGCCCTCTTTATTCCGGAAAACTTTACGCAAGGTTTCCTATTGTGGTGTACTTTTTATCATAAAGAAGCTAGGCTTTTTATGAGAGTCTATTTAGACATGGTTTTCCACACTTGTTGGTACATTGACACAAAAACACCACAGCACACCTATTTGCTCCCCTTCCCAACTTTAGCTCTTCACTCTCCACATTAACACACACACATACACAGTTTTCTAAAACAGCAGTTGCCCACTAGTTGTGCATACCTGCTATATCAGCAAGTCTGTCAAGAGAGGAGGTTGACCATTGCATTTCATTGTCCTTTACTAGGTCCTCCACCCTTTGATGCAATCTGGATGCTTCTAACTGAGACTCTTCCAATAGCTCTCCTGGGCAAAACAACAGGGGCATGATTTAACACTCCCTTGTACAGTATTTCTCATGCCCTCTTTTCCCATCCACACGTTAATCAGATGTATCAGCAGCTCACAGTGTTAGCTCTATCCTGCCACATTTTGGTTTGAATGACTCCTTCATATACAATTTTTATTCCCTACACAGAAAGAATGTTTCTGTAGAGAAAAGGAATGGGCATACCAGCCTTTCCTAACTGGAGGCCCCCCCAGATGCAATGAACTACAACACCTTTCCATCTCCAAACAGAACAGCCAATTACTTCATTTGCTGTGGATGATGAGTCTCATAGTCCACTTTATCAGGAAAGCCCCAGGCTGGGAATAGCTGGTATACATCAACATACTAACATCAAAGTTTTCCATGAATATACCGGTTAGGCAAATCAACCATACAGTTAGTAAGTGTCACACAAAGAAGCCATGCTAGGTCAATAATGTTTTGCCTTGCATGCATGTAGAGAAGCACCTCGGTGGCATACATACACAGCTCAGATTTAATTCCACTCTCCTGTATTTTTTTTTTAAGTTATCAGTATCAGGATTTCATTTTAAAGGAACCCAAACACACAGAATTGCAGAACATCTTAATAAAGACTTCCATATGGAAAACAATTAGCAGTAAATATACACTGGCAAAAGCTTTTGGAGGCTCAAACTCCCCCTGGAGCTAGACATTCTGAATCAACTGTCTCCATTAAAAAAAATGTAAACAGAAATAAAGTAATTTCTCATAATATAGGTCCAATCCTAAACTCTCTTCTGTCCAAAACATAAACATAGAAATTCATCCATGGCAGAAAACACTGCAGGGCTGGAATTCATTAACATGTTCAGGAGTGTATTTCAGCATTTGAACAGGATTACAGGTAGATCTTGAATTACAAAAAATAAGATTGTTCTCTCTCTCTCTTTTCAATGCCGCAAAATTCCAGGGCCAGTGTAAATGCACTGACAAAATGCTCTTATCTCAGTGGCCATGCTGGCTGGGGGATTCTGAGAGCTGTCATCCAATAGTGACACATTTCTAAGCTTTGATCCTCTGTCCCTTGCTCCGTTTGTCATAACTATTTAAAACAACTTCTCACACCGTGCACCACCCCATGAATGTGCAAGAATCTGTGTGCCTAGGATAGACTCTGGGTTTGTTGGGTCTACTTCATTTGTTTGCTTCCTGGGATCCCAAAGACAAACAACCAGACACAAGTGCGAATCAGGGATCGGGTGGGTATCAATTCGCTATGTCATGCCTTTAGTCAACAGTGCATATACAAAAACAAACCTGCCTTAGAATAACTATAAACTTGGGATTATAGCGCAAGCCTCTTAAACCAGTTTGTAAAGCCTTACAAAAACCTGGTCAAAGGTAAACAGTTAATATTCTCATTTTACAGATGAAGAACACTGATGCCAATAGTTAAGTCAAAAGATCAGCCATGGTGCAATGCAGCTTAACTTTCAGTTTTCCATGCTACTGTTAAAATTATTGGGAATGAGGACTCAAACAGATATTACAACAACCCATCATCATCAGAAGCTCCCTAAGTGTCACAGGGCGAGCTTCTCTCACTTCCTCAAGTTTTCAAATTAGCTCACTTTGTTTTGCGATTGTATCCAAGATTTAAACACAGGATTCTGCTGAAGTTTGATTTCTTAAAGAATTGTGTCTCTCTAACACTACCACACTTTCAAATCTAATGGCAAATGATTCATAACACCTTTTTTTTGTTCTCAGAAATGCTTGTCAGTCTATTACCAATTACCCAGTCATTTTTAGTATTCGGTCCAGTCCTTCTTACTGGTGTATATCTGTACCTGAGATGTAGACTGGAGATGTGCAGGTGTAAGTCAAAATGTAAGCTAAGTAACAGCAGAGCTTCATCACCATACAGAAGGCTTTCATAGTGATGGACTCCACACAAGACTCTGAACCAAGCTCAAGTTTTACTATTTCCATGCAAATGCATCAGTAGAATTAGCTTTCCAGCTAACTCCAAATCTTAAATCTAATTTGGATTCCTTTTCTTCTCACCCTAGTTTCGTGCATTACAACCTTAATTCTGTTGCTCTGCAACTGTAATCCAAACAACTGCTGGCTGATACACTCAACAACACTGGTAACGTACAGCACCTCCTAGGGAAGTTCATACACATATCGGCAGGTATATACAGTGGTGCCCCGCACAGCGACATTAATCCATTCCAGGATTAACGTCGCTATCTGGAAACATTGCTAAACGGAACTGAAAACCCCATAGGAACGCATTAAACTCTGTTTAATGCGTTCTTATGGGGCGAAAACTCACCGGTAAGCGAAGATTCCCCATCCGGGCACCATTTTCGCCGCCTCAGTAAGTGGCAGGTATATACAGTGGTGCCCCGCATAGCGACATTAATCCATTCCAGGATTAACGTCGCTATCTGGAAACATTGCTAAACGGAACTGAAAACCCCATAGGAACGCATTAAACTCTGTTTAATGCGTTCTTATGGGGCGAAAACTCACCGGTAAGCGAAGATTCCCCATCCGGGCACCATTTTCGCCGCCTCAGTAAGCGAGGCCAGGGCGCGAAAACGGAGCAGGCGGCCATTTTATTTTTCCGGTGGCCATTCTGGAACCACCGATCAGCTGTTTTTAGAACATCGCAATGCGATTTTTAGCCTAACATCGCAATGTGATCGCATTAGCGATCGAAAAAATGTGTCGCTATGCGGATTCATCATTAAACGGTGCACTCGTTAAGCGAGGCACCACTGTACTTAAGGGTTTTTCTTTTTCTTTAAAGCTTCCTTTTAATTTGGACAGGATTCCACAGTCATGCAATTTGTAACGCTAGGCCTCCCATCTCATCTCCACCATTACCTAGAGACTTAATTCCCTGCATCTTCTCTTTCAGTCGAGTGTTTTCTTCTACCAGGCGCTCAAAGGCTGCAGAGGCTTCTTCTGGCGTACCCCCACCAGGGTCGTAGATACGATAAGGTCCTTTGCCTTCCATTGCTACTGTTTAATTATCTGATTTCCAAGTCGGTGTACCTGAAAGGACAGAAGGTTAGGAGAAGGTTAGCATTTCTGGAACACACACCCCTGAGAAGGCTGGAGTGACAAGAACCATTTAACAGAAGCGGGGGAAGGGAAGTGTTCATCTTCAGGATTTCATTCCAGATAGAATTGCCATGATTGGATATGCTATGACTTCTTCCAACAAGGGTGGGCAACTTCAGTGAGTCCAGAGGGTGCACTCACTGAAAGAGGGGTGAATGTTCTGCCGTAGGACATGCCAGGGGCCACAGCAACTTCCATGTAAAGCAAAGAACACAAAACAAGCAACTAGAAATCCGATCGGATATGCTATGACTTCTTCCAACAAAGAACACAAAACAAGCAACTAGAAATCTACTTCTAGCTTTGAAAAATGAGCATCTAGGAGTGTTAAAACAATACAAGATGGCTCTGATCTGTCTAAAAGATGGATCACCTTCCTGAAGACTTCCATAAGCTAAAATTCATCTATTTCCTAGAAAAAGAAGAGAGCAGGGAAGGGCTGGGTCCCTCAAAGCAACCTTAGTGGCTGCATGAAGCCCCAGGGACACGCTTTGCCCACCCCAATCTACAATAAACCAGTATAGCCATTTCACTCCTTTGCTTCTTAACTTCCATTAGGAGGTCAGGAACAGGCAGTGCAGTCATACAGTCTGTGGCTTTGATTGGTGCAATTCCCCTCCACTTCTCCCAATCAACATCTGCCCAAAATCTAACATAATTACCAAACCTATCCTAATGAGCACTTGAAACATATTTGCATATTAAAGGGGAATCCATTCACATACACAAATATTACCCATGGCTATGGTCATCACAGAAAGGTGTGGGTGATCATACCCAAGAAGTAAGAGTCTTAAAAACATATACCGGTACATGAGTAGCTAGCCACGGTTAAGATCCTGAGTGCCTCTAGTAAGTTCATCACAGAAAGGTGTGGGTGATCATACCCAAGAAGAGTCTTAAAAACATATACATGAGTAGCTAGCCACGGTTAAGATCCTGAGTGCCTCTAGTAAGTATGAGAACATAATGAGAATGTTCTGATTTCAATACGGGCTTTAAACAGCAGCAGATGAAAAAGTCCTATTTTAAATAAACAAAACAGAGATCCATTGTAGGATGGAGAAGCAGGAGAAGTTCATACTGTCTAAATGAAAAAGAGTTGAAAATTAAAGGTAGGAGGAAGTGGCTTATTATGATGGGCCACTGGAATAGGGCAGTAGGTAGCTTTGCAATTTCTCCTTTCTATTCTGTTGGGTCTGAGGCCAGGCTCTGTGGGTCACAGCATGTGCAGAGAGACAAAAATTCCAAAACAAAATAAAAACAACCTTTCAAAAAGCAGCAGTAACAAGACGCCTTAGTTTTAATATGGGAGCTTTCAATCTGGGTCCGTGGACTGTGACCTGAAATTGCCTGTCCTGGAGACTTCCTGGAGAAAAGCAAAAATATGCTCTGGCAAAATATCTTTTTTTAAGCGCATGAGTGGCATTGGGGATACTCCACAGGGATGTGTGGGAAGCAAGCAAGCTGCCCTTTATCCATTCTGATACTGATGTACATAAAAACATATATCTTTTCATACAGAACAGAAAGGCACTGTAGGCAAATATAATCCTCAACCAAACAGAACACCAAATGCTCCTTGCAAGGACAAAATTAAGCATTTTGGGCAAAACATAAAGGAATGGCTCCTTCCACTCTTTAATAACTGCTGGGCAAGTAAACAATTTCCAAAAATATGGCAGAAGACAAAAGCAATTGCTATGCTGACACCAGGCAAAGAACCATTGATTCCAAAAGCTATAGGCTGATCTCCTATGCTACTTATACAAAGCATTTGAACAAATAATAGTAAATCATCTAGCCCCTAAAACAGAACCTCTTCTAATTTGAGAACAGGCAAGCTAAAGGACCTGGCAAGAGCTATACAATTGAAATCTTAAATCTAACCCAGCATATATATTTCCTTATAGTATAAAAACATTGCCCCAGACATCAGAAATATGGATAAATTTATTCAGACAAACACAGACAGAAAGAGCCAGCAAATTAACCAAGGGTTAAAAATAAGCAAAAGGAAAGTTAAAATAAATGTGTACGCATTCTCAATGTAACCCTTCCCCTCCTGACTGCCTCTTAGTCCTCTTGTCAAAAGAGTTTTCTCCGATCAAGAAACTACTCAATACTCCAAAAGATACATGTGCAATAAAACATATAGTTCATGGCCTGTGTGCTGAGATAAGAAAGAGGCAGGGAATAATGAAGATTTAGCCTAACTGTCTTTAGGAGCTATCGTGCCTTCTGTAGGCAGTTTTCTAGGCATCTCTGTCAAAAGGTCAACTTTCTCATCTCTTGTCTTAATCAGGATTGACCATTGGGGTCACTCCAACAGTAAAACAAAACAAAACAAAAAAAGCCCTTAATTCTAAGGTTTTTTCTTTTACTCTTTGCTTAGAATGTAAAACGTATAGCCAAATATATATCTAAATAAAATATGCAAGAGAGGGAAACATATTTTGTTACAACACCTTCTACTTAAAGAGAAGAGAAGCAGAGAAGAAGCTTCAAGTTAGCTAGAAATGCAAGATTTTGGAACACTGCCCTACCGCAAAATATTTGGCATCACTCAGGATCAAACCACGACCTACAAAATACATTGTCTAAACACCAAACAGAAAGTTGCTACCAAAAAAATCCAACCATACGTAGGAAAAAGGCTAGGTCAGACTGCAGTGCACACCCACAAACAATAAGAACAACAGCAGCCCTGTCCCTGTGCTGCACCACAGCAGAATATGACAGTGCCATATGGTATACGTCAGCAGATGTCAAACAAGTAGATATAGCTCTTAATGAATCATGCAGGATTATTAGTGGCTGCCTGAAACCTACTCCCCTGAAAAAGTCTATTATTTGGCTGGCATTGCCCCTCCAGAAGTATACTGAAATGTGCTAACAGATAATAAGGAAAATAAGGTAATACAGCACCAACCCCATCCACTTCATGGACACCAACACTCTAGACATGTCAAACAAGTAGATATAGCTCTCAATGAATCATGCAGGATTATTAGTGGCTGCCTGAAACCTACTCCCCTGAAAAAGTCTATTATTTGGCTGGCATTGCCCCTCCAGAAGTATACTGAAATGTGCTAACAGATAATAAGGAAAATAAGGTAATACAGCACCAACCCCATCCACTTCATGGACACCAACACTCTAGATGATGGTTAAATCATGAATGCATTAATTGGGCAGTGTAAAAATTAAATAAAGTCAAGAAAAAGTTTTCCACACACATCTCAAGCTCTAAAGCAGTGGTCTCCAACCTTGGCCCTCCAGATGTTCTTGGATTTCAACTCCCAGAAATCCTGGCCAGCAGAGGTGGTGGTGAAGGCTTCTGGGAGCTGTAGTCTAAGAACATCTGGAGGGCCAAGGTTGGGGACCACTGCTCTAAATATTAAACCAGAAGAAGCTGTAAATCTATGGAGAGCAAACACAAGAGACCTTGTGGAATGGATGAGTGCCAAAAAGTGTCTCCCACCAGGACCATCTGGAGGTAACTTAACAGACTTCAAAGTGAAGTAGGAAGATCAAAGAATAACCAAGTAAAATAGAGCTACTTGTATACAGAACAAATTTTCTGTGACTGTGAAGAAATTCAATCAATGCAACATTTATATGCATAGTTTATGCCCTATCATGTGTACTACAGATCAAGTAAATGGCTAAGATAACGTTCTTGAAGTGCCCACTTCTGGTTGAAAATATAATTTAACATTTTAAATCTGAACTTTATATATATATATATCACACTTTAAATTATGCAACCCTCTGATATAAATAAATAAACATGCTAAGTAAAACAAGGCATTAAAAAAACTATGCAAACTTGCTTAAGATTAGTGGATGGGGAAGTGCATTAAGATATTCTAGGCCCTTCAATACATGCATCCAACAGACCATACAGTTATATTTCCACAGCAATTTTCATATTTTGGGTTCTTGTTTTTGCTTTTGTAAAATTGGACTAAATGTGTTTTAATAGATGGCTAAGTGCTTCTGTTTGAAAGCCTTGCTTTGGCACTAGAAAAGCGGGGAGTCACCAATGTGAAAACTAGAGCCTCAAAATATGCACAGAGATGCCTGAGAGAGACAGGCAGCTACATGCAAAGTCTATCCTGAATGAATAAAATAAAAATTTAAAAAGACAGAAAAGAGGATTTTTTTTAAAAAAATAGTTTTTAAGTTACAAAACACCCAGCCAGAAAAGTCACTTTTCCTACCTCCAATACTGATACTGTTTCCAGACAAAAAAATAAATAAATAAATAAACCAAGGAAGAAAAAGATATATCTTCTGACATTGCAATCTTTATTGTGTTTACTTAGAAGTACCCTGTGGACTTTCACTCAAAATTCCTTCTAAGTGAGTTAGTTTGCTTAGCATCGCAGTCCTAGGACCACTTCAGAGGAAGCACAAGGCAAACCTGAGGCTTCAGTCCCCATCCACACTGCACAGTAGACCAACGCAAACTCATCAGGGTCAAACTAACTACATACAGCACAGTGAGCACTTCATTAGAGAAAGAGTTTCCCTAAGCACTGAAAAAGGTGCATTATAGCACATGCTTTGTATTCTGCATTCCAGAGCATTTTGTCTGGTGACGAGTCAGTGGCAGGTAAAGACAGCCTTCATTTGCACACGGTCCCAGCATTTTCCCAAATGTGTACCTTAAACCTTAGCAGGAGCCTCCAGTATTGATTTACAGTACCTATCCTGAGTAAACAAGCATGCCATAACAACAGCTGAATACTAAAAGTTATTAAAATATACAGTATTGAGAATTTAACGAGGCTTACTAATACTGCATACAGCTGCTTCCTTAATTTCAGCTGCAAGCCAACTTTTCATTATTCACAAATATAGCTATCCTTCAGCTTAGAATGACAAAATAAATTATAATGCTCAGATGTGGGGAATGTTCTTTGCTCAATGGCTATTTCTCTCTTTTATGCTTGGAATGCCCCAGCTTAAAAATATTAGCACAATAAATATTACCTATGTAGTGACTTGTACAAAGTTTTCTTCAGATCAGTTTTGTCAACTTGTCAAACTTGTCAAAGTTGCTTCTAGAGAACTCTTTTGATGTAGGTGAACTAATAACAACACAAAAGAAGACTCCAAAATCTGATTTTTTTCTTTTTTTCTTTTAGTGTTAGTTTCTAAGCTATTTTCAGAAACAGAAACCCATATGAAGGTGAGTACCTGAGTATAAACAGTTTAAAATTCACACACCACCTAACTGGATTTTGTATAACCGTACCAGTTTATCTATAATCTCTCCATATTTTCTCATTTGTAACTGATGAACACTTTCCTGTTTCGTCTGATGATTGGCAGGAGAATCAGAAAAGAAGACAATGAAGAACTTTATGCAATTCATACGTGACTTCTGGAATCCATTGCCACGAGATGCAATTACTGTATAGTGTACTGTTGTAACATCAGCCATCTAGACTTACCTGCTATGAAAGTATTCACCTCTGGATATTAGACATGTCAATGAAAAGATGACTCTCCCTATTCCAAGACAGTGATGTTATACTACCAAATACAGTACTGGGTACAGGCAAAAAGGGAAACTGATAATTTGATTATCCAACCCTATCCTGTCCTTCACGGTCACCAACAGTCCCTGTGAGAAGGAACATAATAAGGAAATCAAATAAAAATAACACCACCTGAACAACACAATGCTCCCGACACTCATGAAGGTGGTATTTTGAACACGTTTGAGCCAATTGTCACCAAGTGTCCTAATGGCAAGGACGCTAATAAATTTCTAGTACTGTCTTATTCCAGTGTAATTACTGCATTTTGATTTAATATGCAAACCACCTTGGAAGGATTTGTTACCTTAAAAGCAGATAGAACAGAATGAATGGGGAGCTTCCTAATGAAACAGGAAATGATTTCTTTCGTTTGTTTGATAATCTGCAGTTAACTAATCTATGACATTAAACTGACTCACAAAATGTCTTTCTACATACACATAGATGATTTGAGCAGCAGCTGGGAAAACCTCTGGCCTTCCTTTTCTGCTCTGGAGGTTTAGCCTTGTATGGCAAGATTCTTCTTCACATTTTCTGGGTGGTACGAATGCCAAGCAACCTCCACCCCTTTCCAAAGGTGGAACTAGAAGAGGGTTTCCCATGCAAATATCGGCTCCTAAGCAGAGAAGGAGTCTGGGCTTCCACAACACCAGGAAGAGAACAAAAACATGAAGGTCTGATGATACCTCTGAATGCCAGTTGCTGCAAGGGGCAGCAGCAGAACACCTGTGGACTATTTCATGAGGTCCAGGGACTGTTTCAGCTCTTCTTCAAACCATGGCAGAAAATAGATGTCTGGCCCTGCCAGAGAAACAGTTGTGAGAATAGCCAGTAGTAGCCCAGAAAGCCCAGAGTTAGATGTCTGGAGGTGTAACTGGCTTTTTCCACACCTTTATTCTGGGTGAGGAGGTGGGTAGGTGGGCGCAGCGAGGAAGCCTGGGAGCCTACACCCAGCCATTGAGCCACCCTTTGCGCGTCTGTTGCACTCATTTTTTTATTATGCGCTTCCTGGAGGCACCCAAATGGCTGCTGTTAGAATAGGATGCAAACTGAACAGATATTTGGCTTACTCCAACAGGCTTACTCCACTATGAGCTGTCAGATACAGATGCAGCTTTTCTTCATACAAAATAAATTTAATACCCTAAAATAGGGCCAAAGTCAACTGAAATGCAAAAAAATGCTTCCTTTCTCCCCGATACTCCTGTGAAAGAGAAAACAGACCAGCAAGACCCAGAGATAAATCCTGTCAGATGGCAGCAGCCGTTCCCAGTTCACACAACCAGTTTATCAGGATTCAGGAATGCTGGGAGTTTTCCAGCTAAGAGTTGAAACCTGGCAGATTACATGACCAGAAGAGCAATTAGATTTCTTGGTGACTAGAAGGATGAGGGGGATTTTCCTCCCTGCAAGGGAAAGTTTAAAAACAGCTAGCCAAGAAAGCATTGTTGTTAAGAACAAAGCATTGTAGCATCATGACTTCAAAAAAGTTCACCAATCTCAGAATTTATCTCTTAGTTGGTTGTTGTAGGTTTTTCGGGCTGTTTGGCCGTGTTCAGAAGGTTTTTCTTCCTAATGTTTCTCCAGTCTTTCTGGCATGCATCTTCAGAGAACAGGAGTTAGAACTCTCTCTGTGTTCTGGTGTAGAATAGTTGAGTATTTGTAGCTGTGGGATCAGCTTTTTGTCCTTTTCAGGAGATTGGGTGATTATGGTGATCAGGGTGTTTGTGGTTATTGGTGTATTACTGTGATAAGGAGGGGAGATGGTCTGTCACTGTGATTGGTGGGTGTCGCTAGCTAGTCTTTTGTGTGCAGTGATCACTGGTCCTTGTGGCTGGGTAGAGTTTGTTGATCCCCTTGACATATGGCAGAAATACTTTATTTGTGGGTGGGTGGGCCCTACAGGCAAATGGCTATTCCAAGAATGAAATCACAAGAGCAATCAAGAGAAAACAACACCAAACTGTAGAAAAACAGCCACCCACAAATAAAGTATTTCTGCCATACATCAAAGGGGTCACTGACTGCATGAGGAAACTTTTGAAAAAACACAACCTACAAAGAGTATTCAGGCCCACCATAAAAATACAACAAATGTTACGGTCAGCAAAGGATAAAAGGAACTCCCTCCTCACCACTGCAGGAGTATACCGGATACCATGCAGTTGTGGTCAGGTATATATTGGGACCACAAAATGCAGCATCCACACCAGAATTGAAGAACATAAAAGACGTTCGGAAGAAAAACCTTCCGAACACAGCCAAACAGCCCGAAAAACCTACAACAACTATTGGATCCCAGCCATGAAAGCCTTCAAGAATACAGAACACATCTTTTAATTGTTTTAAATTCATTTCACAGCACCCTGGTAATTTTTTGTCACCTGTGGTGGTATCAAGCTCACCACCACCCCTGCCATTCAGCCTAGTAGGAAGCTTCTAGGCACAGCATTTCTAGGGCCAATTCTCTTCAGAAGAGTATTTCACACGATGTATTATCTTTTTTCCCTATATTTACAAGCATATGTGAAGTATGCCAGTTGGGGTCCAGGCAGAGATGAAGCCGATCAAGGACCTAGACTGATCATGAGAGCCTTTAAGGTTGCCCTTGTTTTCTCAGAAGCCACTGTGTGCCCTTGGGCTAGCTCCTCAGCAAGACTACAGACTCAAGACTTCTCTCTTCTTTGGTCGCCCCTACCTATCCGCCCTACGATGGTTCTTCTTCTAACATCTTTCCTCTAGCAGGTTAAGGGCATAGACAATATATTCATTAGGACAAAACACCAAAGATCCACTTAGAAGTTTTATTTTTTAAAAAATTAGCTTTACAGAAGTCTAGAAGAAGTATAATCTCCACATCGGACAGCAGCAATAATATATTTTAGGCTTCACGCCACATTTTATTGTCTGGTCAAGGAATGAAAACCCATCCTGTCAAAATACAAGCACTGGGACAAGCCTTATGACACATCAGGAGGATTCACAAGGAAAACAAGCCTATTGGGAGGAGGGGGTAAATGCATGGCTTAAGGCTACTCTTATATCTTTGATTTCCCAAAATCCCATCTGCCAAGACTTAATGTGGGGAGTTTCCCTTTAAGGAAACTACCACATTTTTATAACAGACTTCTAAGGCAATTAGAAAAATCTTTTCAATGTGCTTTCTCAACAAGGAAGCCACCAGTGTATTATCTGAAAAAGAGGGAAAGTATCACCAAGCTAAGTGCATAAAAGCGGAAAGACAATTGCTTAAAATATGCATGTGGTAATTTATACTCTGGAAGCACATTTTCGAATAAGGTTTCTCATTTTAATGGAAAAACAACTGGAGAAGCTGTGTACGGACCTTGATCAAGTACTACTAAACATGGCTGGGCAACTTCATAGACCCTCCTGCTCTCTCTTCTTACAGTTCTTGATCTTTAGACCAGATACAGACTAAACCGCCCCTCAAACAGAGGCCTGCTCTCTGTAAAGTACAACATGAGGCTACCCTTCTTCCCAGGTTTTCCTTTAATTTGCACGTGCAGTGCTGCAGCCTTTGTAGTGGCTACAGCAAGAAAAAAGAACAAACACATGAGCAAATGCCCCTTTGTTTCTTGTTCATGTTTCAGTTCCTATGTTTTGGGGGAGGGACCCTAGAATGCCAAGTACTGTATTGGAAAAAGATTGCTAGAAAAGATGAGGACTTGAAAAAGTTATTTTTGTATTTGAACTCCAAGAGATGCCCCCACTCAGACTTGTCGTCCAATAAAATAATTCCTCAAACTCTAGACTGAATGATCTGTTGGTTTTAATCTATTTGATAATCTCTTACTTTAATCCATCTGAGTTCTTATGATCTTTTCCATTCGCAAGACTGAAAATTAATCTGCATGCTATTTGGTTTATCTTCACTACTGGCAGCCCCACAAAAGTCTGCTGCAATTACACTTTTTAGAAAAAAAAAGTGATGATGCAAATAGCAGGATTAAAAAGAACCGTTCTATCTGTTTTTTCTGCATTTATAGCCTAGGCATGTGACAGACTGAGTTTCGCACATGATCCTTTTCTGTACAGAACCCACGGGGAGAGCAGACCAACGACAAGGCTGCAGATTCAGACCCAGCTGACAATGAAGCAGAATGCATATCAAAGTGGCAAGACGGAATCACTGGCTCACCAGGTGACACATGAGTAAAGCATCTATTTCTGGAGAAGGGTAACAGCTGACAGGAAGCTGATCAAGAAATGCAGCCATGTGCGTGCACGGGCGTATGGGTGCATGCGTAAGCACTTCTGGGTGGACCACCTGAGTACAGTATATTAATCTCACAGGGCATCAGCACCATTGCCGGTAGTAAGAAACCTTCATTTCTGACAATTCTGAAAATCTGCTGTAGTCTAGAGGTAAGAAATAGATAGTCATGTTGTTGAAGGCTAATTCCCACCATGCCTCATCATTGACTCTGCTAGCTAACACTGATGGAAAGTTTGACCACAGCTGGAGGGCCACATGTTCCCAATAACATAATCAAGGGAGGAAAAATGAATAACACCTGGATGTTGAAATACATGAAGTCCACATGAAACGCAGCATCCCAGACAAAGCACTAACTCTCATGGGTTATCTAATGCAATCTGAAGTCTAGCACCACCTGGAAGAGATGTTCATCACCCCTCAAGGTAGCCAACGGGGCAGGAATGCACTGTGTCTAGTCCTTCCAGATGTTACTGCATTGCAACTCCCATCTGGCCTAGCCAGCCTTGGTGGAGGTAAGAAATGAAGGGAGTTGCAGGGCAATAACATCTGGAAGACTGTATTTTGTCCACCCCTGCAAGAGGGGGAAAATACAAATAAGAGGGGCAAGGAAACAATGTAAGTGCAATAAGCCACAGGTTTAAATACATTAAGTCTACATGAAGCACAGCACCTCAGGCAATGGACACGTCTACCACGGTCACTTTACTTGGCTCTAGTACATCACAGCCGGGAATGCTAACTAAAGTATGCATTGAGTGAAGGATATTACGCAATCAGCAGAAGTTCTCAAATGAACGGAACTTTGTATTCAGCTACAGGTGGAAGGCCACAAGCTCCCTGTCCTGGAATGAATGGACATGATATGACTGGCACAATAGAAACGTGCCAGTCACATCATTATTCAAGACAGGTCAAGTCACATCAGGCACTTGATTTAAAATTAAAAATGAAACGTCAGAGAACATTGTTTGGCACTGAAAAGATTCCTGTAGTGAGGTTTTACAGGCAACATGCAGCTGAGGCAGCACACCTTTGTCCACCTAGTCACATATAAAAGGCAAACAGCTTACCTGAACACGGATGCTTACGTTAGTAGTAAAATGAGTCAACGGGAGAAACCATTCTCCCTTCCCTGTTCTCCCTGAAGAAGGGGTGGGTAGGAATTTCATCTCGGTTTGTTTTACATTAAAAATTACTAAGAGTCATGCATTTCCATCACCTTTAAGAAAGGCCAAATTTAAGGACTACAAAATTTAAACAGACAAATTGCAAAACTGACTCCATCCTTACCTTGTATTTAGCTATTTAGTCATGTTCTAAATTCTGGTTCAAGTCGATTTTGCTAATTTCTTCGGATATTCCAAAGATCTCCTGGACTACTTGATTTTTGACAGAATTGCGAACAGGGTTGTCCTTAGATGAATAGAGAGTGGCTAGGATTATATGGCTAGACCAAACAGGGGTAAAGTATTTCAATTCCATTATAATTTTACATGCTTTGGAATGGTGGTCTCCTGGACAGTTTGTTTCTTTGGGAATTATTCATGAACACTTCTGC